TCTATTTATCCCAACGTTTGGAAAAAATCTAAACATCTAGAAACGTCTGGACATTAGGATGCTGAATGAATTCTTGAAGACCGAAGGCATCGCATGCATGGACTAGCCTGCAAGGTAACCAGACGTCAATCCAGTAAATCATGCCCTGGAGTGCCCTTAAATGACGTGCTGCGAGCCGAAGTGAGCTACCACACTCCATTCAAGTCCTTACCGCTGCCCCACGGGCAAGACCTCCCCCAGAACTCATCAGCATATTAACACTTTGAGCCCTGCAGCCGTCATATGACGTCCTACGCCCATAGCGCATTCAAACTGCAAGAGCTGAAAGTGTTAATCGGGAGTATACAAGATCGTTGTCAGGCCTTCAATGGTGCCCGTGGTGATCACGCTCCATGCTCAGGACACGTGGGGGTGGGAAAAGGTCATACGTACCCTGCATGGATCAAGTATGAGTGAACTAAATGTTACACATAATACTATCGGAATTTCCATCCAAATCCTCGTGCATCGTGCCTCAGCATCGTTAGCGAATATTTTGATCAAGGGGATGCCAGAAGATTGGAAACAAAGATGAATCTTAAATTTTTAAACAGAATAGAACGAGATGGGCTTTCACATGGTGATGCTTATTAATTATACAGTTAAATTAGGCTTTAAAAGAGAGAGGTGTTAAGATTTCATAGCTCTTGTTTCCTGTTGCACTTTCCACAAAGTTTTTCGAGGTGATATTAATTTGACCAGCCACTGTACTTACTGAGAATCGCCTATCCTCGCCAAAGAAAAACGATTAGACCACTTGTGACATGCCTGGGGAATGAGATAATCATAATAATTCGGGGACTAGGACGAGTGAAATTCTCCCCATTGCCAATCATGCGAAAAGGTGTCAGGTGGACCTTTTCAGAGCTCACTACGAGGATGTGCATTTCGCCAGGGCAATATTAAGGAGGTCAATCGGATCGATAAAATAATGAACGATTTCAGGTCATGGTATTTCCTTTCCCATTCTTTGACTGCGAATTTAGAAGGACCGAGTATGTGAGACGAACTGGTTTTTAGACCTGTTTGGGTCACATTCATGGAGACAGGTTCGCCAATCTCACTTCCCTCAATAGGCAACTATTAGCTTGTCTCTTACATGTTGAAAGTTTCAAATAATTTTGCTCCTGCAGCGGGCACTTTGCTTTTCGCTTTCCCAACTATCTTTCCTGAAAGTATTAATTTCTAGTGAGCACATAACTTCTTAGTTCTTTCTTTTATTGTCAGTTACAATCCAAGGCTGGCAAAAAAAAAGAGAAGCATGCTGTCGCTCTGCGGCCGACATTTTAACTACTTCACGAGATCTACTTGAAATCGCTCCCATTGATTGCATGTATACAACCTCATTTGAGACGAATCTACTTAGAAGACGTACCTGAAGAAGCAGGCGCGCGAATGCCTAAGATCTCGCCCCTAACACGAGTTACCCCCTCGGTTCCCTCCAGATGCAGACAATGGTCATCTCCGCTTACACATGGCACTTAATGCTTTTTCAGGCCGAAATCGAGTAGGGCGGATTTATTTTACGAGTCGACAGTAACCTAACCGAATCATTCATTGATCGGGAGCTATAAGCTCGCTCCATGGTTCCAATTCATCTGTGATTATTCCGAGAGAGGTCAACGAAATTAATAGCAGTTTTTTGTTTTATTTTGCCAACTGTGAATTCACCGTCCCCTTCTGCCTTCACATTCCTCGAAGTACGTCATTTCCCCTCCCGAGAGTATGTTTTTCTCACATAAATCATTAACGTTCGCCTACTCCCTCTAGGCTACACAATACATGATCGAAGGGCGATGAGAAGAATCCAGGAATCACATATCTCAGTGTCGGCAAGACCATCGATCCCCTTCATTGAAAAATGGCCACCTTCCCATCGCAAAAAAAAACTCTTACATCTCATTAGTGGGGAAGCACATTTCATTCGGCGATAGTTCCAGTCTATGAAGAGACATGAGAAGATCTCACGCGAGTGCAAGAGATGGTCCTCGACAATGGACCGACTGCCATCGTGTCTCCATCTTTTTCATGAAAAGAGTTCTCCCTTCCCCTCATTAGGAGATCCAAAAAGAGAGAAGGAGAGAGAGAGAGCGAGAGAGAGACAGAGAGACAAATGATGCTAACCCAGCGGATCAATAATTCACGACCTTCTTTTTTCCTTTCATGGCTCTGCCTTGATAATGACTTCATCAACCTCATTCATCAAGCTCACCTCTGAGCGTCATTTGCGAGACTCCCTTACGACCTGAGCTAAAATTAAGGGCACCTAGTTGCTTCCTGCAACATCGGTGTCGTAAATGCTTCGTGAGTAATTCCGTGCATCCTGCAGGCGATCGATCTCATCACGCGAAACATTCCCGAGAGCTTCGGCCTGCCTGTAAAAACTGATTTCGGAATAAGTATACACACCCTTTTAACGGAAAGCACAACTTCCTACGGACTTACCAATGCCAACTGAACTAACGTTTCCTTACTGTACACTAGATGTCGGTTGCGGTCCGCGAGGCACATTGCATTCATGGCTCTCGTGAGGCGACGAGCCGGTTCAGACTGCGCGCGCAAGACTCAAAGTCGGACGTCTCAAGCAAACTCAACAAGTCATTAGAGGTGCAAAGTCGCCAAAAATAACTGCGAGCCAGGTCTGAAGAGGGCCCCACCCATTAATCAAAAGATTAAAACTCGTTTGGAAATGTGAAGGCCGCCCTAAGGAGGAAATACCATGGTCATGCCCTGAAACCCGGTGTTTCTCCGTGGTTTCAGCGTATCGTGGTGGATGATGTTGGCAAAAGTTATGCGGGAAGTGAGTTTCAGAATTGGAATTCTTGCTTTGGAAAAGAACGGAATTATGTTGAAAAATGATTCAAAGAAATCAGCCGTGTATTCAACATTTTAACTTTGTGTATATATTGACTGCGCTTGATATATTAATTACTTCAAGGACATTAAACAAGTGAAACTTGAAACTATCGCCGGGGAATTATCTCCTCTTTCAGGCTCTATGAGTGACCGGGTAGGTCTAGTCTGAAGAGTGTCATTAGCCCCTGAAATCTCCTCAGAGGAGGGGAATCTTAACTAAATATTGGACACCTACCGAATATTACTTACAATTCATTAGCAACAGGGTTCTATTCTCATAAAGTGACCGTCCTCGGGCAACTTTATAATGAATATATCTGAGGTAACCATTTATTTTGTACACATAGACTGGGTATCTGTAAACCTCAGAATGATGTGATATCTGTCCTCATTCCATTTTGGTGTGACAGAATTTCTCTGACCCTGTTTGGATTAGAGTAAATATGAGAGTAAATATAATAGATTATTGGATTAGAGTAAATATAATAGAGAGTAAATATAATAGAGAGTCAACATGGTGCTTCAGCACATCTTCCATTGATATAAATATATAGTAAAAAAAAAAAAAAATTCAACAGTCATGTTCCTTGACGTTCCAGTTGTGCAACGAAGTGATAGTATATTTGGCGATAATTTCTTAAATTCAAGTTTTCTTTAAGAAAGACCCAATAATGCATCTCTGAGGGATGGTGCACCTGGCTGTAACTCTTAAAGAGTGCAGAGGCTCCTCAGTCCTCAGGGCTTTCAAACTAAAGTCAGAAAAATTATTTATCAGTCACAAAAAATGGGTAGGAAAATATATATTATTCCAGGGTCAGTAGTCTACATGAAAAATAGTTTCAGATTCAATATTTAAAAAGTTGTGAATGGGATCTGTCATTTTGTGGACAACCACTTCTACTCATCAGCTTTTATGTCAGCTTATAAATAATTAATACATGTTTAGAGTCTGAAGTTTATTCTCTCACTCCTTTGTTACTCAACATGTGAAAAAGGAGCAGAATAGCCATAATTTTTGTCCCTGTTCCACATGGTATTTACTTATCTATATATTCATTCTAAACTGACCTAGCATTTTAAGGATGAGGAATTTGAACACAAATGAAAAAGAAACTTCCAAAAGTCAGCTTTGAAATAAGTAACAACTAATGGTCCCAACATACCTTGCTTTTTTTTGTTATCAAAGTAATGGCAACTGACACTAGTTTGTTTTAAAAAGTACTGTTCCAACTCCTTTTAAAAGCCTTTCAAGACGTGCTGTAATTCAAGTATATTGACTTATTTTATAAGTCAATAGTAAGGCCATTCTGAATTTCACTAAAACCACCAACTATAGCTTTGAATGTAAAAGCTGCAGTAGGGAGTTCAGAATCTCAATGCACAGCTCTTGAACATTTCAAACTTAACTAACCTCGACTGAAAGGATTCATGATTCATGATATCAATCCATAAAACACTGTGGTGCTGCTCTCAATTATTCAGCTGGATATCAACATTCCTATTGATTTAAAACAAATCATATCCATTTTTTCAAACTAAAGATTGTTCCAGCAGTGACTTCTTTGGGAAAATCCACATAGATTGGTCAAAGTGAATCGCCAAAATATGATAACTTTGAGCTGAAAACACCATCAAGATTTGGCAGTCTTCAAATCCCCTCATAGGCCTCTTAAGGTATTTCTGCATCCATAATTCACCCATTAACCCTTTCATGGTACATACTGATATCAGTTTTGCCCAAGGTGAGCCTGCCAGATTAACTAATGTTGAAGTTTTAGGTGTATTATACCTTAATCTCTTGATATTTCCAAGAATAATTCAGCAGATTAAAGTGCAAAATTTCACTGGCATGGAAAAACTCACCCATGAAAGGATTAAAACAGTTATCACTGACATTTTGCTAAATGAAGATGGAGGTCTCTTCATATCTAGAGGATTGGAGGTATGAAGAAAAGTGGCTATTGCTAAATCCATTTTACATCAAAAGCAAAATTTTTGATACTGAACTACCCTGTTTTCAGGTTTTACTTTGGGTATTTCTCTACTACAGATTGGCAGATAAATTATGTGATATATGAAAAGGCATCCTGTAGTAAAAACTTGGACTAACTCACCTTCTGGATGATGTGTTCTGGATTGATACCCAATTCTGGATATAAAAAATAAAGAATGAATTGCAATTTTGTTTAAAAGGGATTCCTTGCCATGCTATTCTAAGAAGCATGAAATTTATGCAAGCATGCAACAACAACTTCAAGCATCTTACTTCTTCTATGCCATAACATTAATTGAGGAGTTCTCTAGAAAAAGGGCATATGTGCAAAAGCTGGTCAAAACTTAATTATTGGTAAAATGGTATCTTCGAACTTTTTCCAATTGAACTTGGGGTTTTAATGAATTTCTTTATCTCACATTGCTGGGATGCAGACAGAAAGTGTTTAAGCACATACGCCCTTTTTCCATAGCTGCACTGCTGAAACTTTTTCCAAGTCTTTCACCACTCCTTTCCAGTTAAAAATAATAATTAATCAATAACTGCATCTACAGATTTCAAATAAGCTCTTTCTTGAAGAAGAGCAATGAAAATGAGAATATTCAAGACATGTTTCATTCACCAATCACTCAGCAGTGATTCATTATTAATGTATTCATCATCAGATTCTGCAACTATTTCATGGATATATCCAACTTCTCACATCCTTCCAGAGACTTGAATGAATCTGACTCTTTCTTTCCCTTTCCTCATGTCTGGTTTCTTCCTCATTTTCACTTTCAGTTTAAAAGGACAAAATAATATCACCAAAATCGTTCAGCATGCAAGTGCTAATGGAATATTCATGGAGGCAGCCATATTGAAATTGCCACTCAGTTGGCCTGCTGTAGGTATAGTGAGTATGTAGGAAAATCTGCTTCTCCTTTGCTGAATACGCATGTTAACTACTTGCTGACCACCCTATCCTATGACTAGTCACCTAAAGCAGTGCATGGACACAAATATGGAAAAAGGGCATATGGGCACATATGCCCTTTTTCCAGAGAACTCCTCAATTATTGAATAAAACCACTCCGTATCTTCCAAACATCAAGGATCACATATACTTGTAAATCAAGAAATACAAGCTTTTTAATTTGGGGAGGCATGAGATAACAGTTCTAGCATTTGAAAATCATACATGAAACTCTCAGGATTTCAAGGACTTGGCTGGTCACAGTTGGCATTTTCACTACCAGAAGTTTATGCAGTTTCATCAACTAAGGTAAACATAAAGTAAACTAATAATCAGGGGAAATTTAAAATAGTATCTTTCCCATCAGGCTAAAATATGGTACAACATGGATGGAGTATGATGAGTTGTCTAATTTCAATGGGTATGACTTAACAATTTCCCCAATTGAAACACAGATAATCTGTAGGTCTATTTGGCTAAGATCAATGCTCGGTAAGCAAAATCCAGTAACAGCCTCTGCAGGTGTTTAGGGTTCAACAGACACAAAGTATACTATACCTGTCAGATGATGAGATTCTTGTCTTTCTGCAACATCTGAATTGCATCAGTCTGGCAAGTCTGTTATGTAATACCATCCTAACTTTGCTACGGAGACTCAGTGACTTATCTCTAGGGTAAGTGGATTCTTACCAACCCTGTTTACTTCCATCCACTTTTATCAGCATCAACGAATCTGATTTAATCCATTGAAAATGAAAGATCCTCAACTTATATGTCTCTGTTCTTACTACAACTTTTACTAGCTACTTTTTTCCCAAAAGACATGTGAAATGCAATTAAAAGTTGTTTTTTTTTTCAAAAGCACAGCTATGAATTATTAAAATAATTTGGAAATTGAAATCAGGATGGGTGGAGGTTAGCACCAATCTAGTCCTTTCAGAATGTCAGCCTGGCAGTCTATCTCATCTGAAGTCAGGTGAAACTGAAAAAATTTCAAGTTAATTGATGCCTATTTATTCATCTTTCACTTACAGAAAAAAACTGCCCAGCAAAAGACCAACTAAAAGAAAGAGTCTTAGTTAATGCAATGCTTGATGTAGTCTCCACAATATGTAGTTACAGCCAGCATAAAAATGGTTTTCTCAATTCAACTCCCAGCTTGGGCTCCTATATTATTTCAATTTTGGACAACTTTAAGTTAGTACTTGTAGCCTAGCTTGGAAAACCAAATTTCAACTAAGTTCCACAAGGCTGTTGCAAGCATCTCATCCTGTACACTTCAAATGCTTCATGGAAATATATCCAGGAAGAGTAGAGATATAGAGGATCAAATTTGGAGCTATTTCAAAAGTTTTATTTTTTAGGATGTATAGTGGATGTCCTTAACACTGTCATTTTGACTGCTTGCAATTTTTAATGCACTTCACATTGCTGATTTGGCAACTGCGTGCCTCCAGAGTTTTTACTTTTCTTAATATCAACATTTTGAACACATCAAATAACACATGAAAAAGCAAATAAAATGTTACAGAATAATAGTTTCATACTACTTTTTTATGCAGCAGTCAAATTGACCACTCCAGTAGTTCTAATGTTAAAGCATCTGATAATTTGCAACCTTATAATATCAACACAACCAAGAGTAAAGTAGCCAAACTTACAAACAACATTTATGCTCTCATAAAATTCGTCTTAGGTCAACTATTACTAGGTGATATCATAGCTTCAACTTCAACATGGATCATCATCCACACGTTTTGAGAACCTGATGCAAGTTCATCAAATACTTGTACAAGAGGTTTTTTAAAATGTGATTTCAATGATTGCAAGGCAAATTACATTTTGCTAGGCTTGATGGCAAATAGACTTCAGAAAAAAATTCACATGACAGGCCCCATACTTGGACCCAACCCTCACTTCCTCATTGAAAGAAGCTCTCTTATCTGTGAACATTTCCAGCAAAATGCATTAATAGCAGTAGTGCACATCCTGACATTTCAAATGTTGGAATCAGGCAATAAAGATTGGCCTAAAAAGTGATAATATTATAAACTTTCCATACAAGTTTCACTATTAGTAGTCCTAATTTTTAATAGCTAAAAATGATCAGGTATTTCTGGGAAAACCTGGACACACTGGAATAAATTGTCATTACTCAATAAAACCTCACACAGGAACTTCACTTCAACTCCCACCTCCAAGTCAAATTGCAAATGTACTAAAGGTAGTGGCAGTGTCCTTTGGATAGCATTTGACTTTCTCTCATGAATTTTACATGCCAGACACTCAATATGTGAAAATTGACATTCTTATAATGAGATCTTTGAATTTTACGGAAACTAAATTCATTCTTATCCAGATTTCCTGCATATGAAATTCCTCATATTTAAATATGAAAATTTCTATTGAAAACTGGGATTGTACAAATAGTTTTTGGGCCACATGGACTTGGGTAAACCATAAGATCCTTACCTTCAAGAAGAGGAGGCTCATCCTCAGTCTCATTCTCTCCAAACTTGGCTGTGCTGAATGGAGCTCCTGGGCCAAATCCAGGCTGCTGAGGAGTCATGTATGTACTTTGTCCATATGAGGCCTGCTGACCATAATCAAAGGTCTGGAATGATCTGCAATGGAAGAAGGTAAACAATTGTATTTCTAGCATAGTTGCTTTTATAGCTTGAAATGTGAGGTTTCAGACAGATGCAAAATCAGATGCACTCACTGCTCTTGCCCAAACCCAGAGCCTATGTCATAGGAGAACTGTTGATCACCAGTTGAGTAAAAGCCATCCTGGCCAGAGTAGGGGTATCCAGACATGATTTCCACCAGAAAATTCACTTAAATATTTCTTTCCCACCTATCTGCAAAAAAAATGGCACAGGTAAATTGTGAATTGCCTCTCTAAATGCCATGTTAAGACATGGCATTAGAATTGAATCTCAAAGTAGGAATCATTGAACCAGTTCCCTGAGGTACAAGGTAATTTCATATCATATGATGACCAACACCAAAGACTTCCATCACTCAATAATAGAGTGCTCTTAAGTGCCAAGCAGATTAATACTAAAACAGGATGTCCATAAAGTGCACATCCATGGGCATCCATTATTGAATTTGAGGTAACCATTTATTTTGAGCATGGAGCCTGACTATCTGGAGACCTTGAAATGACAACACATCTTTCCTCACTCCATTTTGGTGTGACTGAGAATTAATATCTCTGATAATGTTTTTGGGTTAAGCAAACTAACATGGTGCTTTACCTCACCCTCCATTGATACCCAAGCAATTTTTGCTTAGGTACACATGCAGGATAAGATACCCAAGATACAAGATCCATGAACCTTGACATGAATCAAGAAATCAAACAGAATGAGGTTTTTTTAAAATACTAATATGAAGGCTTGGGTCTCTTTCCACCAGTGAGAACTAGTATCCCAACATCAATTTAGGAATAGGACCTCAGTGCCAACTGCCATAGATTTGGTACCCAATTCACTCACTTTTTTAAACATAGACAGGATATGTCTAGTAACATTCAGTGGATTTATGTACAGTTAGGAAACTATGAATCAAGCATAATGCAAAAATAATCTCATGAGAGCTCTCAAGTAAAATTCTGTATAAATGATGGGGTTCATTGCTATTGCAAGCAGACATGACAGTCTCCCTTTCAGGTTCCTATAGAAAGTTGCAAAGACAATTTGATCTTTTGAAGCTGTACTGCAAGAAATTAGGCTTCACAGTAAATACAAATAATAAAAAAGCAATGAACTTTGGAAAAATATAATATTTTAAAGCCAAAATTAAGGTAAAGACACAACTTTCGTTATGATTTTTTATTCTTCTTCATCCTGAGCTAGATGGATAATTCATGCAGAAAGGAAATTTGAAAGCATCATTTCAGAGAAACAAAAAAAAGTTTGCAGGCATTGGAAACAAATTTACACAAATTATAAGTTAGAATTGTTTAAATTTCCTTTTACTGAAGAACAATCCTATTAAGCGCAGACCTAGATATTTAATATGATGTCAAGGCATTCTAATGCTACAATTTCTATTATCTTGACTTTTAAAGCAATCAATTCCCATTATTTTACATGCTTATGGCTGACAAGTCTCAAAACATAACGTAAGGTCAATATGAACAAATCTGAAGTGTACATTTACTTGTGTAGATAGGGATTGAATATGAAACTATGAATAACATGTAGCAATTTGCATTGCAGCGACTTTTCTGTGCTTCTTACCAAAAGCTTACAGAATCCCTCAATAGTTTTCTTACTGTGGTTGTTGTGCAATGTAAATGCAATAGATCAAGGCATACCTAGCAACAGGCGCACCCAAGCCTAGTCATCGAAAGATATATTCTATCATGGCAGCCCTTCATTCCCAATAACTGATTTTTCGCATTCATTGATTAATTTTCGCAGATAGACTACACAATAACAAGTGACGGATACCGACGAAACCAGCCACGTGTGTCGGTGAGGGTGTCCGTGGATGAACGGGCGTGTCCATGTTCGGCAACATTCGATTGTCAAAGTTACTCACGTCCGAGGAAATTATAACTAGAAATTCTTTGCCCATCAGTGAAGAAATTTATTTATTTTGTTCATTGAATCTTTCACATGTCTGAAAGATTCAGGGAGTACTTCAGAAAGCATCTAATGCAAAATGAAAAATCGTTTAACGAAGTAGAATCTCAGGGCAGAAACCAGAATCGAAGAAGCGCCCGGCCCTTCCGGAGTGCTGTCTGGCCTAGGTAGGTGTCTAGCATCTTCGGTACCAAAAAATGTAGAACATTCCCGTCGCATCTGGGGCAAATTTTATACCTCAGACATTTCTTCTGAATAGGTTTTGTTCCAGGCCTAGTGTTAAGCTACCCTGTTATGTTTAGCCTTCCAATTTCGAGTAAAGTTTCCTCTCGGTAAACCACAAAACCCCGTTCTTTCGAACAGTATGTACAGAAGACGTACCAGTTCATTCCAATAAATTCAGGTCTACAATGTTTTGCAATTCTCTGTTCAGTCCAGTAGGAGAGAAAACGACGTCCTGCCATGAGGCAGATACTGGTCGGCCAGTCGGTGAAAATCCCCAATGGGGTGACAGCTAAGGTGTCTTCACGAACAGTCACGGTGAGAGGAGCCAGGGGAATCCTGAAGAGGTCCTTCAGACATGTCCATCTTCATATTCATGTGGGTTCAAAGTATATTTATTCTTGGTTTGGGTTTTAAAGGATTGTGAAGTGAGGGATAGCATAGCCTATGATAATTTCATTCTCAGACTCAGCCCTGGGCAAGGAAGTTAAACTTTACCTTTTGTTTTGCATATTTCCATTCAAGTCATATATGATCATTGCTGCTTCCCTTTAAGCCTTTCCAGCCCTTCTGTGTGAACTGGAATTGCTGGAATTTCAGTATCTCAGTATCTTTGTAGTTGTCCTCTGATGGTCCCATAATAATTGCCAACAACTCAGCCAAAAATAACTGAACTTTAAAGAAAGTGAAGTGTAATTATCATGGACATAACATTTAAATTCTAGAATGCATTGTCTTATTCATGTCACAATTATGCTGAGTGTTCATGAGTGCTACTTGATCACATGTCAGTATTAGATTTTGCTTGTCTAAGGGAAGAAAAGTGTGTGTATCTTCAAAATAATATTGCACAAAAGTATATTTATGGGAATTTAAGTATTGAAAGAAATTCTTCAGCATTAGCATCTAAATATCAGTTTTAAAGATTTCTGAAATTTGACTGCACATTACTATTGATGCCTTTTTTTCCCTTCCAGATGCCCAGCAAGAAGGAAGTCAGAGTGGAAAAATGGTTTGGATCAAAGAAAGAAATTGCTGCTGTCCGAACCATTTGCTCCCACATAGAAAACATGATCAAGGGAGTCACCAAGGTAGTAATACTTTTTGAACAAGAGAGTAAAGATCTCTTGAATGACTTACCTGAGGGTATTGGAAATCTAGAAAAATATTCACGAGTGGTTGTTACTTGGCTCAAAAGTGGTGAAAGTGATGAAAGTATTGGTTTTATTGCCTGTATGTGTGGCGTAGGTGGTTTTATAAGGTGTCAATTCTGACTAGTTAGACTCAGTAATACCAGAATCAGGTTTTGTAAGCATAAGTGATCTATATGTAATGATGGGAGTGAGAACCCAAATTATTTTAATTGTGAAAGCCCTGAAATTTTATGGATATTCTATTTTAAGTTCCTGAATATATAAAAAGAACATAAACTGCTACTTTTGAGTGAAGGATTCCAAACCTGCAATCAAGTATTTTTCATGGAATGTTTTAGTGCCAGTTTAAGGGTCAAAGGGCTTGTAGGTGGGGCTTGTGGGCTTGAAGACTTGTAGATGGACATTGGCAAAGCCTGATCACATAAATGACATGTTGATTCATTCATTGCATTTCTGCTAAATTTCAGGGTTTCAGGTACAAGATGAGAGCAGTCTATGCCCATTTTCCCATCAACTGTGTCACTCTGGAGAATGGAACTGTCCTTGAAATTCGTAACTTCCTCGGTGAAAAGCATATTCGGAAAGTGAATATGGCCAAAGGAGTCATCGTGAGGAATTCCACAGATCAGAAGGATGAGCTCATCCTTGAGGGCAACAGCATTGAAGATGTGTCACAATCAGGTTAGAAAATTTTTCTAGTAAGGGGCTGTGGTAAAGCTGTACCACAGCCCATAATATCCATTAAATAACCATGTAATATTGTTAACTTCCTTCAAATTGCTATGCACTACTTTCAGAAGCATGTCAGTGATTATGCCAGTGCTATGATACATGTGTATTGCCACTTAAAAATGCTTGATAAGTCATTTGTTTCTTCAAAGCTGAATCATTGCTCGTTGTCATAGTGTTTCATTTCATCCATGGAATTGTAAAAGTATCCCAGTGTAAGTAAGCTCCTTCTTTGCTCAGGATTGAATCTGTCAAGGATTTGGGATTTGATGTGAAACATTTTACAGCTGTTTTAGTCTGAAAATGTGTGGTGAAAGACTATCTAAGACTTATCATTTTTTCTCTGACCCTTCCATTAGTATTTTTTCATTGGTGATAGGGAACAAGATGTCTATTTATGTGGACAGGTTTGATATTCTTTTTGGGGCTAGTAGGTGTATTGCCCTTGGAAAAGTATTAGTTATTGTCATCAAATTCCCTTTCAACATTTACATAGAGGTTGAGAGCTTCAAAATAAATTGGAAATGAAAATGAACAATGGCAAAGGGAGCTGAATGCAATCGAGAAATTTTCCAACAAGGTTTTGAAAGTGCCCAGTGTGGTGCACCTCTGCTTCAATATTGAAAACGAGGGAATTTGTACCAATGTTAGCATCCCTAGCAGTATAGAGAGTAGCATAATTACTCCTCTTTTGCAATACAATAGAGCAGTGGTCAGCAACTGGTGGCCCATGGGCCAGATCCGGCCCACGAAAACCTGGATATTGGGCATTACGTTCCAACAATAGACATTCAACTGCATGTTTGACATGAGACATTCGATAAAATTGTAACTTTAATGACACTTGGTAGGCACTGGCTTGCGAACGTTCAGCATTCTGCCATCTGGCCTGCCGTGAAATTTAGTTGCCGACCACTGCAATAGAGATACCTTAACCCAGCAGTTCCTGGACTTCTTAGAACAGCAACCCACTTGCTGACCCAAAAAAGTTTGCAATCCAGAATGGGGTATTTTAAAATTAAATTTGGCATGAAGAAAACTCATTGAGCTTTTTTGCAGTGCTTGTTTTATTCTGAGCATGACTTGTGCACTTAGGAGAGATGGTCTATTCTGGGAGGAACCTTTCCCAAGGCGTGTCAGAGATCATTCTCCACTTGCAGCTGCGAATGAAACTTTTTTTTTTTTATCAAAGTCAAAGAGCAGAGAATCCTGTTTCACACAGATGATCAATAGCAAAGGGAAGCAGCACTAGCAATATTGGCATATGCCAATATAGCTTTTTGTTATGGGAAACTTGTTGCAACCCGCAGTTTGGGAACCACAGCCTTAACCCTTTGTGGTTCTTTGTCCCACTGGCTGAGCCATTTGTCATAGCGTTCTAAAAAAAATGAACAGCAAAGAGTTAAAAAAAAGGAAGAAGCTTGGAGAACTGAGTTTTTAAGATGCTGCTGCTGCTGCTTAATGCAAGCACGAATTTATGGATGGTCAGATTCATTTCAATGTAACCACATCTGGACAAGTATATTTGTTCCCATTAAACTAGTTTTAGCCTCTTTTATTTGAAATAAATTCACATTGACCACTTTTTACATTGAAATCAAGAGTTTAGAATTTGCATCTGTGATGTTCTTATAACATTGGCTATTGGAACAGGTAACAGAACCCTTTGAGTGATGTCTTTCATTGTTAATTTTTTGCGTTGGCAATATCTGCTTTTTTATGTTATATATGAGGTTTTTTATTGGTGTTTCAGCTGCAAGAATCCAGCAGTCCACAACTGTGAAGAAGAAGGACATCCGAAAGTTTTTGGATGGTCTCTATGTTTCAGAGAAGTCCACAGTTGTGCAAGATTGAATGAATCCCAGAAACAATAATTAAAAAAACTTCTGTGAGAATTGTGTTTTATTCAGCTTAGGAGTTTAATTCAAAATGCCACTAAGAAATGAAAGAAATAAAGTAGGATGAAAAATCACAGTCATGAGATCTAGAATCCAGGGACCTTTGCCTGAAGTGATGATTGTACATCCTGAGATAATTCTTTGTCATTGTCATAGACTTCCAACAAGGAGTCCATGATAGTGAAGAGTTGGGTCACTGTTGCTTCAGGATGAAGAGCCTCATACCACTGCACATCTTCAGTTGGGATCTGAGAGGGATATGATAAAAATATATATATATAAAACTTTTAAGACAATTCATTAAAGCAAGAAGGTTCTTGGGATTATAACCATCACCACCCCTGACCCCTTTTGTACCAGGTATGACAACCTGGAGAAAGAAATAGATAATACCTCTGATGTTACCCATTGCATATTTGCAGACTTCATTCAACATGCTTCACACATGGCTTTCCTCTTGAACATGAACTGACATTAATACTACAGTGTTTTTCACTTCACACTCATGCATGAGGAGCACATGTGTTGGAGTCAAGCAAAAACACTAGCAATCCTCCTTTCCTGATTAACTTTCAGGTAAAATGCCTCCAGCAAGTACTAGAGGAGGACTGCAGGCTGGCAGCTCATTAGCACTGATTTCTTCCAACTTTACTCAAAAAAATTCTCTCAAAAGCACCCATAGGATGTAGTAAAACACTCTGTTTTGATTGTTTAGGGAACAAATTGGGTAATTGTTCCCTAAACAATCTGACTGACTCCCACTCCCTTGTCAGGAATATTTTCCAGGGCAAATATCTCTTACTTATTGAATATAATAGTTATCAGTGCTTCTAAACTCACTGAGACAATTTCAAGCTGTAATTTTTCAGGCTTACCTTACCAGAATGGTATTCCAACAGGTGAAAAAAAATATTACTGAACTCCATTTTCTCTCTTAATCCAACCAGTGCAAGGGTGGAATTTGTTTTTATTTTTATTTTCTTGATATATAAAAGCTAAAATAAATCTTGAGAGCTATGCCACATGATGAGCTCCTGTTTATCCAGACTCCTTGCCCCTTGTTCCCTGTTTTTTTTTCTTTTCTTTTTTAACCCTTTCACTGCATATTTATTTTTTGCAATAGAACAAAATTCCAAAACTTCTTAAATGTCAGTATATTGAGTGTCTGAGCAGGCAAAATTATGTTCTACAGATCAAGGGGCTGAAGTTGAATGTTGCAACAAGCAGACAAAAATCTCTGGACAAAGGCTACAGTCAAACATTGCAAAGGAAATTGAGGCACAGTTCAACTATAGTTGAATGTCACAGGCAAAAGGGTTAAAGATTATTACACTCAGCTCTTCCCTATCAGAAGGTTTTCTAACACTGACAATGAAAGAATATCACAAAGGAAATTTTTTTCAAGGGGGAAACTTTTCAAAGATTTAATTCAAAGCATTAAAGGCCTTGAAAATAAAATGCTCAAAGGTTACCTCAATGTAAAAACTTTCTTTATCAAGATGACGCAAATGGAAAAGTTGCAGAGAAAACTTCATGATGTGGACCTTTCAGCATTGTGCCTTCCCAAGCCTGGCTCACCAGTGAAGCAAAAAGAATGGTCAAAACTCAGACCATCCTTGTTTTCCTTCCATGGGATGTGAAAAAAGCAAATACCATTCTCAAAATACTTGCCTTCATAGAACATCAGACAAGTTTTAATTACAAAATAAATGCTACAATGATTTCAAGATGAGTTAACACATCCTTATAAGGGAAACTAAATTATTGTTTTCTATGCACTAAGCAATGTTGGCAGAAGCAAGATTTCCATCATACATGTGTGTTGGCTGTGCCCTGTCAGGTACATGCATTGCTCTGGTGGGACAATAAGCTTGTTCAGGCCAGGCATTTGAAACCAATAGTCAGACAATGCACAAACATGTGATATTTCTAGAGGTCTAGAAATGTCAGTGAGCAGAACCAAAGCCCTCACATGAGTATATGAACTCATCCCAAAGTCACTTTATGCTATGAAATCTACAAGCATAATGGTGAAATATATATGAGTTGAATCCTCAAGACAAAGCACCAAAAAGGAAAGCAGGGAACAATCAAACACTCAGGCTATAAATAAGAATTTTGTCCCTTCTCCCCATTCAATTTTAAGACCATTCAATTTTCCCTCTGCTATATGCATTAGAGACATTAAAATTTAAAAGAATTTCTAAAAGTACCAGCAGAATGTTCTGCCTCTCTGAAAAGTCGATACACTATTCCAGTTAAACTCAAAGTTTAGGCACTCTTGCTTAAGAGAACAAAGGCGTATCATACCTGAAGACCATAACATTGGAGAGCATAGAAGATGATGGAAATTGCAATCAACTGAGGCTTGTATGTAACAATAGCTGGAGAGAAGTGGAAGTCATGGAGGAAAGCCCAGCAACTTCTCTCAAATGGCATGTCCTTTTTCCACTCTGGGGTCTTGGCCCAGAGCTCCAAAGACAACAAGTAGTGAAGCAAATACTGGGGATAAAAATAAAACATGGTTGATTCATCTTTTACCTTTCTTATGAGAAGGAATGATAGATACCAGCATGAAAGACAAATGCAGCATGACTTTATAATACTCACCCTGTGAGGTAAGTGGTAGGTCATATCAAACTTAAGCATTCGCAGAACAAGCAATTCAGCATTTGTTATGGTTTCCCTGTAGGAGAAATATTCTTCTCCCAAGTTCAGAAGGTCACATCCTGGCTCAAGTGTATCTCTGGTAACATTGATCACATCTCGTATTTGTGCTCGGTCATCCTCACTCTAAAACAAAGTGCAACAGTTGACTCTACATCAGTTTCTGGCAGCATTGTATCACAGCACCAATGTGTGAAAGGGTGAATAGTCTCACCTTCCCAGAAATAAATAAGCAAGCAGCTGCAATGACATATGGGTCATAATCTCTCAGGTGAGCTTCCTTGAAGAAGCGATGATACATTGCAGCAGCCTTACATATAGTGTGGCTCTTGAGTTCCAATTTCCGTCCGCATTCGAAAATGAACTTCACAGACCAGAAGTGATCTTTCACAGACTTATATGCAAGTGACATTGTTGGCTGTCCACTTCTCCAATAAGGGCATCAATGGATGCTGAGTTAGCCTAACTAGTCCCGATTGAACTGCAATGTCAAGCGTGAAGCGAAACTTAGTCCTGGTAGTCTTGTGTCAAGCCTAGGCCTAGCCCTATCAAAATGTATACCTAATTAATCTCACCGGCTTCTTGTAATGATATGCGACCACGTCAGGCCGCCTGCGTTCCTGATTGCCCGCTGGAACCCCACGGTGCACAAAGGAGGCATCTATTGGCAAGCACTAGAACTGTGCTAGCGTCCTCCCCTTCGTACCTCACTCCGGCTTTCGTACCTCCTGCTTCTTGAACATGACGAATCCGTAAGCAAATCACAGCATGCAAACACGGTTTCTTGAGTTCTCCCGCTCGCTAACGTAAAGCTCCGAGGTGGTGCTCCAGAATGCGAGAAGAAAATAAACAAAAAATCTGGAGGCCAGTGACTATAACAGCGTAAGCTTGGATTTAACAATGTACTGCAATAATTTCACGTCCAGCCCATATGCGACTGTAGCATTGAGATTGAACGGAAAAAAAAAGAATGAAATAAAAATTATAGAGGAATGAATATTTATATTGTCTTTCTTCTGTTCTGCCTCTGTGGTCTCGGGAATTGGGAGTGGTTAATGATTAATTCATTAAACTTTACTCATCGTACTGTAGTATCATAAACGTATGTATTTATATGCTTACGTTTAAGCAGTCCAAGGTAAGGCGTTTTAGCAGTTACCTGTAAAACTTGAAGAAGAAGAAAGTTGACATTTTTATCTGGTTACAGAAGAAACAGGCGTACAACTTTAAATTGATTCAGTAGATGTCAGGATTTAGAAAGCATTGATGTTATATTTTTGGTATTTTGAACAAAAATTTCAAAGGGTGAGCACTGGCCATCGTGGACCATGGTCGATCAAACGAATGCGGAAGGAATGCTTCCAATATTTGGGGAAGGAATTCGTGGAAGACGGGAGATTTGACTGGGATGAAGAGACCAAATTCCTTATCTTCGTCTCCTTTTTCTGGGATTACATATTCCCAGAAATTCTTGGAAATCGTCATGGAGACGTGATAAGCGTGGAGCGACGACTCGTGGCGTGCATCATCGGTGCCAGTGAGTGTCCTCACTTTCTTTCGAGCCTGCCGCCACCTATTAAAATTAAATGACTGTTCGTCCTTCGTGGCACCATCGGAATGCTCGAGCAGCTGCATTTCCGTCCATGCACGCGTTCATATAATTAAAACATCCAAACGGACCTAGCCTTTCGAGCGGAATAATTTTGTAGCCTTCGCGTAAGCCGGATCCCAGTCAGATTACCGCTGGCTTGAGGACGGGAAAGCGTATTCTACAGTATAACCTTGGGACCATAGGCAGCGATTTGTTGAGAAATATGGGGGGGGGGGGGGGCTCAGAGACAGTACTCTACTCTTGCAAATATTCCTTATTCTCATGTCCTCGCTGTGAGCCCCTTCTACTATAATTTTATTTTATTTTTATTATTATTTCATTTTATTTTATTTATTTATTTATTATTAGTATTTTTTTGTTGTTGTTGATGGGGGGGGGCTCGAGTCTCCTGAACCTCTATGAATCGCTGCCTATGCTTGGGACTCTTGCCTTGGTCGTGCATTTAGTAATTCTTCCTCGCCCCAGATTTCATCAGACAGGAATCCGTATAACCCAACATGCAGGGGAAATACGAGTAAGTCCTAAAATCCGTGCTTTTCTGGCCACTCTTGTCGCCGATTCAGACAACAGCTGGGGCTTTTGGATCCTCCACTCACCACCTACCAGGTATATAAAAGCCAGGGACGTCATTTCATGAACTACACCGTAGGCAGCAGGTTCGGAAGAAGAGCTAGGGGTAGGGTAGGGGTTTGCCCCCCCCCCCCCCCTTCCTTGTCCAAAATGACATGCATGATGAACTTTGCTGCATTTTCACTTCAGAAACAACGGATTCTAATTCTTTAGTGTCTGACCATGTAATATTTTTTGCATCGCAGAGCTAAACGGCAATTTCTCCCCGTAAGGGGGACTGGGATTCACCAATGCTCATAGGGAGTGAGGTCAATTCCATAGAACATTGGAGACAGGTTTCTATCTCATCGGAGTCGGGTTAGTGCTTTTACGAGACAATGACCCCCTTATTTTCTCTCTCTCTGCCTGTCACCCTCAGAGAGCTCTTATGTGGGATCTCCATCCAACCACATTGACTTAGCACCCAAATTCGCTGGTACCACTTTATCACGAAATCCTCGGCTGTTATATCCTCGTCGCAACTCTCGCTACTGAAGACATCGAGGAATCTACCCAAGGTCAATGGAGGAAGGTGTTCTACAGGCTGTTTCAAAAGTAATTTTGCACTGAAACAACATATCTATGCTGATATTACATAATGCTGATTGTTTTTGTCTTTTCAGGTAACCCCATAAAGTATAATCCTTCTCTTATTGAAATCTTCTGTTACCTCTGATGTGTTTTTGTGATTTTTTAATTTGGTATTTGATCACCAACAACAAATACATTTTTTCAAATGGTTTCTCTTTCTTTGTAAGGCTAGGGATGTCTCTACTGCATAATTGCTTTTGAAACACCTATATTTTGCAAATGGCATCTGACAATTTCTTTCAAATCAATTTCTTCAGCAGCAGAGAGGAGCCTTGGAATGGAGAGAAATAGAAGGGGGTTGAAGCTTCACCATGGATGAGAAAAGCTCATTGTTTTTCAAATTCAGAGTTATATACAAATTACCATTTGGGCAATGAGGCCAACCATTTCCCCCTTTTCACCTTTCACTCTACTGCAGTACTAGGCTTGATTAATCTGGTTATATTTCCATTACCAAATAATTTGCAGATATGTACCTGTTTGATGAATATGTTTTTATTTAGATTTCATATGCAACATTTTCACAAACCATCCTACTTCTAAAAATGCAGGACTACTGGGGATATAATCTATACTCTGGAATCACGAACTGGAGAGGGTGATGTCTCCTTTAGCAGCAAGGACACCAATGGGGGTTAATGACTAGACACTACAGATTACAACACACACATGGGAGATGTTGACTTTGCATAGAGGACATTGCAAAAAACAAAACTGATATAAGACAACTCAGCGAGGAATGAATCCACATGGAAGGAATCTTCAAGAAATAAATTTCAAATCTGGAATGTAGTTTGCACCATTTAATTTTAGGAGTGAGTCTAAGTTTTAAGAAGGGGGAAATTGGCAAACAAGCCAAGTTCATTTGGCTTCCTTGGACTGCTGGCCATGCCTGGAATCTCGAGGGTAGAATTCGGCTAAGAGGGAAGCTGGGATTCTCTTTAGCATCTCCTTTGGGAAGATTCGCAGAAGTTGCCAGCCGATGTCCAATGTCTCGAATGCCGTACGGTTCTCGTAGTTTCCTTGTGCAATGAAGCTTTTCTCAAACTTGCCCAGGAACTCCAAGTAGAGAAGATCGTCAGGGGTCAGGGCCTCTTCTCCAACAACAGCCTTCATGGCTTGAACATCTTTCCCAATAGCATAGCAAGCATACAATTGGTTGGACACATCAGCATGATCCTTTCTTGTCATGCCTTCTCCAATGGCAGACTTCATCAATCTGCTGAGAGATGGAAGCACATTGATAGGAGGATAGATCTGTCGATTATGCAACTGTCGGTCAACGTAGATCTGTCCCTCAGTGATGTATCCTGTGAGATCAGGAATGGGGTGAGTGATGTCATCATTAGGCATAGTGAGAATGGGGATTTGAGTAATTGAGCCACTGCGTCCAGCAACTCGTCCAGCTCGTTCATAGATTGTGGCCAAATCTGTGTACATGTAGCCTGGGAAACCTCGTCGCCCTGGAACTTCCTCTCGGGCAGCAGATACCTCTCGAAGAGCTTCAGCATAAGAACTCATATCAGTAAGAATGACGAGCACGTGCTTCTCACATTGGTAGGCCATGAATTCTGCAGCAGTCAAAGCCAGACGTGGTGTAATGATTCTTTCAATGGTTGGATCATTAGCCAGATTCAGGAAGAGACACACATTCTCCATGCTACCATTTTCTTCAAAGTCCTGCTTGAAAAATCGAGCCGTCTCCATGTTGACACCCATAGCAGCAAAGACAATGGCAAAGTTGTCTTCATGAGAATCCATTACACTCTTGTCAGGAAGCTTGACCAGGCCAGCTTGTCGGCAGATCTGAGCAGCAATATCATTATGAGGAAGGCCAGCAGCTGAAAAGATGGGGATTTTCTGGCCTCTGGCAATGGAATTCATGCCATCAATAGCTGAGATTCCAGTCTGAATCATTTCCTCTGGATAAATTCGAGACCATGGATTGATGGGCTGACCTTGGATATCCAAATAGTCCTCAGCCAGCACATTGGGGCCCTTGTCGATTGGCTTGCCACTTCCATTGAACACCCGACCCAACATATCCTCTGATACAGGAGTGCGAAGGATGTCACCAGTGAATTCGCACACTGTATTCTTGGCATCTACTCCCGAGGTACCTTCAAAGACCTGGACAACAGCCTTAGAACCAGAGACTTCCAGAACCTGACCAGCTCTGGTAGTTCCATCGGCCAGATGAAGCTGAACAATTTCAGCGAATTTGGGAAACTTGACATCATCCAAAATGACCAGGGGCCCGTTGACACCAGACACCGTCTTGTAACTGAGGCGAGGCTGAGAGATGAAATCTCTGGTGACAACGTACTTGTGCTCCGCCCGAGCTTGTTGCGGAGTTAGTGAACTTGAAGCTCCACCTTTCGGTGCCATGTTGGAAGGCGAAGTTAACAGAAATCCAGAAAATCCTTGTGACCGGCAACTCTATGTCAAGCCAACACTGTTTCCAAGAGGGTGATCTGGATCGCACTGCTTTCGATCACGGGGCTCTGGTCACCTGACTGGGGCGAAACTGCTGTCATTAGAATTTCAATAGAGGGCTTGCAGGGGTAGCGGATCCGTCTCGTTCTCAAAGTATGGTGATGCTTGCATTTTTCCCCTCTATGGAAAAATTTTTCCTCTTTCGTATAGTTTTTAATGCTCGAGCATCCTAATTGGGTTTCCAAGCAATTAAAGCCAATAACATGCTAGGAAGAAATAATTACGGTAGATCCGAAGTGTAGCCTGTACTAGAGGGCGCTGACTTCTCAGAGCGATCATGGCATCTTACTGATTACTTATTGCACAACCTGCGTCAGTTCTTCACAATTTCTTTCGGTTTTAGGGACAGTTGGATATTGCCGAAACTATCATGTCTGCAATGGCTGAGCCACTCACTTTGGCGCAAGGTAAGCCTTTTTTGTTTCCCCCCCAAATCGGCTTGTAGACATAACGTTGAACGTAGCCTAGCCAAATGCTGCCTGTCGGTAGATGTACTACGTTTGGCCAACTCCAAACGTTAGGGCAGTCTAGAGCCGCTGATGGATCTTCCCAATTCAACTAATGTGAAAGCTATCCTAACATTAAGACGATTATAGCGCATATCAGTAGTATCCCATTCAAAGCTCAACGTTACTCAGTCCTTGGTCGTTTAATATAAATGAAATAGTGGATATATCCGCGGCAGCGTAGTCGCTTTTACCTTCAAATCCCTACTTATATTTTTTAAAGTTTGACTCATACCCTCCCATTGGAGTGCTTTCATCGATTACAGGTAGTGAGATCTAGATAGATGATTTTGTGGATTACTGGTGAACTGGATTCTTGGGAAGTGGTGCTTTCTCTGTTTTCCATAGAATCATTAACTCTCACGATTTGCCTAGAAGACTCCCATTTTCATCCCCTTTCCCTGAAACCATTCATGAAGGATATTGGGACACCAGGATTCTCCTGATTTCTCTATGAAATGCAACAAAAAGGCAGTGAAACAAGCCCATTCTGTTCCTTCATCCTAAGGCCTTGCACTCATCCAAGTCCATAAGGAGGCATTGGGTGATGGCTTATTGCATCAAAACAGTGCCCTATTAACCCTTTGGCAAGCAAGGTTTTCTATCAGGGACATACTGCCTGTCCTACTTGTTGGACCATTGTCAGGCTTGGACTGGTGGTCTAGGGGCTCCCCAGTACCCCAAATTTCCCTGTATCCTGGTGGGCCAATCCAACCCTGACCTTGGTCCTCAAATGGCTATATTGGTTAAAATAGTAGAGGCAGCTTAGAGGAGGTAACAACAGATGTACCACCCCACTCAATCCCTTTCCCCCCCCCTTCGCCCTCCCATCAGCTCATCACCCCATCCTCATAACCAAATTAGCCCCCCAAAAATTAATAACTGGATCTAACTGAGGAATGGTTGGCAACCCTTGTTCTCTACAAAATGGAGGAGGATTGATGGGTGGGCACAGATTAGATCCAAAATTGGTGCAATACTTGCCCCTCTGAGAGTATGAGCTGGAAATCCAAGGAATTTTGAACTTGGATGTCAATACCAAACATTATGGGTTCAATCCTTGCATTAAAGTATTTTTCCTCATTTACTTCAACCTAATCTTGAACATTTAACAAACCCAATGATTGTTTATTACATAAAAAAGGCTCTACCCGCATATTTGGCCCTGAAAATGCTAGGTGCATGTGTTTGGGCAGGATTGCCTTGGATATCCCTGGATACAGGGATGTCCTGGATATAGCTAGTAGCTGTAGAGTAAAACTGATAGTTATGGGTCTTGACTTATCATAGTATAGGATTCATCTATATCCAGACTGAAAGCTGGCCCATGAATTGGCAAATTTTATAGAAAAGACATGATGCAATATGAGTTTTTTTCTCATTGCAGATGTGAAGAGAGCTGTGGAGTTGCTTGATAAGCTGCAGAAAAGTGAGTTGAGCCTTGCAGTCCAACAAATTCAGAATAAATTTGATTGGTTTCTGCTACATATAGAGCATCCTATGTCCCTTGACCAAAAAAATGCTGACTCTTGACTGGAAGTGACTCCATGTAAATATTGAACAAAATATTGAGATTTAATAGGATCTTTCATATCAGTTTTTGGTGGTGGATTGTACTGTGGAGGTTAGAATTTAATATGACAGTGCATGCACTGATGTCTTGGGTACCTCTAAGCAGATCTCAGCTAGTAGACTAAAGGTGTCCATGAATTCAGTCTCATCCAAGGGTAAGGCCAAAAGCTGTGCAGTATAATAAATGAGCAGCAGCTAACCATTGGCTGATGATGAAAGAAAAACTTCACACAACTGAAGTGAAAGAAAGAGTCAAAAGCAGCTTATGAGAAGCAAAAAAGGGTTTTCTCCTGGTAGTGGTCTTTCTTGGATAACAATTAATATTCATTCAAATAAATCCCAAAAGTGCATTTGAGTGCATTGCTAGTTTTTTTTTTCTTGACTCTTTGCCTTTTGCATCGTTGTGTAGACCCCATGGACATTTGTATTCAACTAGGAAGTATCTATCTAATAAAATACATGACAGTGGTGGATACAATTTGACTTGGCACTAAGAGGCCATAAGCATACCCCTTTTGAGGGTGAATTTACCAAAACTAGCAAAATGATAGATGTTATAGAATGTATGAACTGCAAGGTGTTATTGTGACTTATTGATTAATATATTTCCTGGAAAGTTCATGTTTACCACATTAGACTGGAAGTTGCTTTATTCATTGGAATTAGTCATCATCTGAGATTTTCTTTTCCAACCAAAATCCTTCTCACTCCCATTAATGCTCTTATCCTGGGAAACATTCCAAATGGGATTGCTGCTTGGGTAAAGTGCAGTAAAACTCATTCAATGCAAGAACATACATAAGAAAGCTTTAAATTTTGGTTCTTTGTTTCAAGTACCTAGGGAACTTCATTTTGTAAATTATTTAAAGCTAAAAAGAAAATATCCTCAAAACTGTATGCTTTGTGCATTACAACTGTCACTTTTCACTTGGTTCTTTAAAAAATGCCAAAGTATCCTTTGTGCCAATTCATTTGACAAAGAGACAAAGACTGCCATAAGTACAGTACAAGGTAATCAAGTAGTTTGTTACTCCAGCTTTTACAAAAAAAACTTTGAACCAAGAGCCTCATACTCATCAAAGCAACCAAAAATGGAGTATGATGTCATCTCTCATTCAGCTTTGCTCTTCAAGAAAGATGCAAGAATTTCTGTTTTTGACCACCAAGGGGTTTGGAACCACTTTTCTTCCCTTTGGTGAATGTGACATATTGGCATGTCACATGGTGGTCAATTTGTGAAAAAACAATGCATATATTTTGAATCAAAGTATATACACTGCTATATCACCTGTAGGATGACCTTATGGCATGGTATTTTCCTCTTCTATTTCATGCCATCCTCTTGCTTTTACTTATTTTACTTTCATTTATTCCCCCTATCCCACCACCACACAGGTCTCTGACCTTAAATGGGAAACATGGTTTTACTTTGGATTTTGAAAAAATGAATGGAATTTAATGAATTTTCAAGTCCTTATCCAAGAGAGCAAATTTATTTCAGCGTTTCTTTGTCTCCTGCAGGTGGGGAGATCCCAAGTGCTAAGTTGGCTGCCCTTCAAAAAGTTCTCCAAAGTGATTTCTTCAATGCTGTTAGAGAAGTGTATGAACATGTTTATGAAACTGTTGATATATCTGGGTCACCTGAAGTCAGAGCTTCTGCAACTGCAAAAGTGAGTTTTTGGCTGTGTAATAGAAGCATATATTTCAGCAAAATTATGAATTTGTTATAGAGCATATTTTCAGTCTAATGACTGACCCCATATTGCCTGTGGAATTGTTGCTGTTATCCTGTTAGTATATGATTCAAATGTAATATTTTCAGGCAACTGTAGCAGCATTTGCAGCAAGTGAAGGCCATGCCCACCCAAGAGTGGTGGAATTACCAAAGACAGAAGAGGGCTTGGGTTTCAATGTCATGGGTGGACGAGAGCAAAACTCTCCCATCTACATTTCAAGGATCATTCCAGGTGGAGTTGCTGATAGACATGGTGGCCTGAAAAGAGGAGATCAACTCCTCTCTGTTAATGGCGTTGTGAGTCTTTTGTCGTTGTTAGTACTGTACTTAATGCAGGAACAGTGAGTAAGAGAAATATCTTTTCTTTATAGTCTGTGGAAGGTGAGCCTCATGAGAAAGCTGTTGAGCTTCTGAAACTCGCTCAAGGAACAGTGAAATTGGTTGTGAGATACACACCCAAAGTTCTGGAAGAAATGGAAGCCAGGTTTGACAAGCAAAGACAAGTTCGGAAAAGACAGCAAATGAATTGAAGTTGATGAGTGGTGGTCTAATGGGACCATCATCAATATCATATTCATATATTCCACTGAGGTAGCTATCTGAACCAGTCTCTTCCAAGTTCTCTAAATTTGTCCTACCATAATGAGGAGTAATCTCAGTTATCTGTTTCATTGTTATCTTGGAGTTACTGGGGAATGATAGCACTGGTAAGAGTGCATGGTATGAATCCATTATTAGGTTGTGAGAGAGCTCAAGTCTCTTATTTTTATCCTTTGTATTGGAAGATTTCCAGCCAAATCATAACACGTGGCCCATGGCTGGAACAAGAGTTTCCCTTCAAGCCACACTGCGCTTTAATAAAATTTTGTCTCATGAGATATACAGTGTATTAAGCATTTGACTATTTACCTCAAACTTAGGCTGTGTTCTCATGAATATTCTTTCATGATCTCAGGTCTGCCAGCAGTGGGCCAGTAAGATGTCATTGCTTTCTGTTCTTTACTGTTTATGGTCAATTCTTCTGTTCAAGGCTTACCCTGCCACACCATGATAAAGAACTCCTGTACCTCTACACCATGTGTTGCTTCATTGTCAATCATAAAGGAAAGAAAAAAGATAGTTTATTTCACATCATAAGTGCAAAGCAGCTTTATGTACTCCTGTGATTTCAGAAGCATTCAAGGTAGCTCATTGCCTGAAGTAAATTTAGATTACATTTTTTGCACTGTACAGCAAACGTTGATCCAATGCCCCTGTTATTCTTTGGGGGGAAGGTAAGGCTTTTCCCATCCTTATGCCCTGTTGATCACCCCAGTGATGGATTCAATCCAGGGAAGGAATGCATCAACTCTCACATAGACACCAGGCACATCCTTTTTCCCACATCCTATGCCCCATGAAGTAATCCCGGTCAGAATGTATCGACCATCCTCAGCCCTTGGGCACATCAATGGGCCTCCTCCATCACCCTAAAATAAAAATTGGAAAAGAAAAAGTGATTCTCAACACAAATTGATGATCATGATAGATATACATTAGAGATCTTGGAGGCATGTTTGTTCTTACTGTGCAAGCATCTTTGTTCTCCTCTCCACCAGCACAGATGAAATTTGGATGAAGCAAGAAGTACTTGGTGAGCCTGGTATTCTGAAGAGCTGACTGACATTTCTTATGCTCTACTAGAGGGACATCAACCTTCTTCAACACTTGCTGATATTTTCCTAAAAAATGAATTTTTTTTCATCTGCAACGTATTTCTGATATCTTCCTCTTCAATAACTTTGAGCAGTACTCACCATCAAAGGCATCTTTGCCCCATCCGGTTGCAAGACACCGTAGTCCCTTGAGCTGGGCTGTCTTCTTGGCATTGGGCAGGCAGATGCGGTTGATGTGATAGTTGTAAGCTATCGGGTAAGCCATTTCCAAAATGGCAATATCGTTTATTTCTGGACCATGTTGATATTCAGGATGAGGATAAAGAGCTGCTATGGGGACATCTAAGTATGGTATGGGTTCGGCAGAGCTGTTGATCTCCCATTCCCCTAGCCGAACTTTCAGTTCTGCTGCTGCGTGTAATGTATGGTTCCTGCACGGGAAGACGAGACAATGTTTTTTCACCTCTTTAAATTGTCACTTAAGTCTTACTGTTGATTCATTGTTGCCGGATTTTTCATCGTTGTCTTGATATTTAAAAACTCGGAAGGAAAATAGAAGTCGTGAGCATGCACTACAATGGTGGATTAGAGAAAAACGGGTTCGATCATAGAGAAGCCTGCTCTCAAAACTAGTGGGAAGAAATGTTCCCTTTATTAGCAGAGATGATAAAGCTCACTTGAGTACGCAGTGGGCAGCAGTAAGAAGGAACCTCTCGTTGAGAAGGGTAGCCCCGCAGACGAATTCATTCACCCCGTCCCCCTTGATCCGATACAGCATTGCCTGCCAGGGGAATTCCGCAAACCTCGCCTCGTTCGCTGGCAGGATTCCTGGATTTTTTATCCTATCCAAGAGATCGCCTTCGACCGAAGGAACTTGGATCCCTTCGGGGTGCCTCACGCCGCATCCGACCGGGATGGCTGGCAACGGGCGACAGCACACCCCCAGGGCTCCCGTGCTGTCCAGAAGACAGGACCTTGGCCGAATCCTCGGGTCGATCACTCCCGTGCCATCGAATATGGGATACTTGGGGCAGAATCCGTCGTCTCCTATGACGCACTGATGGCCTTGAGGACAGCTTTCCGCCGGTGGCTTTCGGCAGCAAATTCCCGGGCTCCCATCTTCAATGTTGCAATTCTGAAAAAAATTGCATTCATACCCTCGAGGTATGACTTCATTGGGAAGCAAGGAAAGCTTAATTATATACGATCGTGTCGACTTACACTCCTTCGCGTGTCTCGGAGGTCGATGATCCCGGATCCATCCGCGATTATGTTCCCGTTCTCATCGCAGTGGGAAAAGCTAACGCAGTCGAATTCGACGCCACATTTCGGATGCTTATTTGCGGGTTGCTTCCTTTCCAATGCCAACGGAGCGCTCTCCACCATCACCTCTGGATCTTCTGCCTTAATTTCACCTTCCTGGACGTTTTGGAGCGGTGCTTCCACGGGAACGTCTTCATATTGCGACGGGGCTTCGGCAGGGATATTCAGACTGTCTACCGGCGGTGCTTCTTCGGGGAGGGTATCTACCTCGCTGAGAGTCTCCTTTTCAATCCCAGCATCCAATGCAAATAAGTCCTGGAGAACCACCACGGGTTTCGGCTTTTCCTCTCCCTCGGAAGGTGAAGAGGAAAGGGGAGAAAAGGGATCGGGGACGCTTCGTTTGTCCTTGGGGAAGTTCCCCATCATCATCATGCCCCCTGGCCAGGGATCCACGTAGTCGGGGTCACGGCAGCACACTCCGATGAATTGTTGTTCCGTGTTCCTGCATGGCTGTAAAAAAATCACGAAACTTTCAGTCATCAGGGCCATCTTATCTGTTTCTAGAGCATCAATGTCGGATCGTGACCACTTCATTGCGCTATTAAAGGAATCTTATGCGTAATTGACCTTGACAGATTGGATTGTGGCCAAGCACGAGAAGCTGACTTAGATGTGAATAGGTATTTTTGCTTTTCGCTTAATGTTTTGAAATCTAACGCATTCTACTCTGCTTCAGGAATTCACTTACCGTGACGGCGACTCGAAAAGTATTCTGCTCGTCCAGAACGTCCCGCGTCTTCTTGATATACCCAGTGGCATTGCAGTCATTCTCATAGACGCAGAGCAACGCGGCGGCACATCCAGGATGTGGGGAGGATTCAGCCAATGGTCCCGTGTAAGGTTGGTAGGGCGCTGGTGCTGGCTGGGGGCGATAAGCTGGCTGAGCAGGTGCCTGATAAGACGGCGCGGGAGCTTGGTAAGATTGTGCAGGTGCCTGGTAAGACGGCGCGGGAGCTTGGTAAGATTGTGCAGGTGCCTGGTAAGACGGCGCAGGTGCAGGCGGTTGATATGCTGATTGTGGTGGTTGACTCGGGATTCTTGGGGCAGACGGTTGGAAAGAGGGCTGATTATAGACCGGCTTTTGTGGAAAACTTGACGCTGGTCGAGGCTTGAATGTCTTCACTGCCACCAGCAAACCTCCACCTATCGGAGGAAGAACTGGGACTGGCTTTGCGGATCCAGTAGGCTGCGGCCACGGATCGGGTGTAGGCTCTACAAGAAGTTGTGGTGCAGGTGGGGGCTGTACAGGTGCTGGTGCGGGTGCAGACTGTACAATAGATGGCTTTGGTGCAACCTGTTCCTGGTAGCCGGATACCGGCTGAGGAGAGGGATATGCTTGAGGAGAAGGGATGGGCAACGGGGGCTGTGGCTGCAGTTCTACCGATTGGTATGAAGGCTTAAGAGTTGTTTGGGGTGAAGGAGCAGGCTTGGGTTGGGGATAGGGCTCCAGTTGAGGCTGAGGTTGGGAGGGCTTTGAATGAGGTTTGGGTTGAGGAGAAGGGGCTGGATACGGTTGCGGTTGAAGCTGTTCTTGCGGCTGGTATGGTTGGGGTTGAGGCTCTGCTGGGGGTTGGTACGGTTGAGGTTGAGGCTGTGGTGGTGGTTGGTATGGTTGGGGTTGAGGTTGAGGCTGTGGTGATGGTTGGTAGGGTTTAGGCTTAGGAGCTGGTGCTGGATAAGGTTTAGGTTTAGGCTGTGGTGGTGGTTGGTATGGTTGAGGTTGAGGCTGTGGTGGTGGTTGGTATGGAAGAGGTTGAGGTTGAGGCTGTGGTGGTGGTTGGTATGGTAGAGGTTGAGGTTGAGGCTGTGGTGGTGGTTGGTATGGTTGGGGTTGAGGTTGTGGTGATGGTTGGTATGGTTGGGGTTGAGGTTGTGGTGATGGTTGGTAGGGTTTAGGCTTAGGAGCTGGTGCTGGATAAGGTTTAGGTTTAGGCTGTGGTGGTGGTTGGTATGGTTGGGGTTGAGGTTGAGGCTGTGGTGGTGGTTGGTATGGTAGAGGTTGAGGTTGAGGCTGTGGTGGTGGTTGGTATGGTTGGGGTTGAGGTTGAGGCTGTGGTGGTGGTTGGTATGGTTGAGGTTGAGGTTGAGGTTTTGGTGATGGTTGATAGGGTTTGGGCTTAGGAGTTGGAGCTGGAATAGGTTTAGGCTGTGGTGGTGGTTGGTAGGGCTGAGGTTGAGGCTGTGGTGATGGTTGGTAGGGTTGGGGTTGAGGTTCTGCTGGGGGTTGGTATGGTTGAGGTTGAGGCTGTGGTGATGGTTGGTAGGGTTGGGGTTGAGGTTGAAGTTGGGGTGGAGGAACCTGGTATCCCGGTTCGGGTGCCTGTACAGGGGGCACTTGAACGACCGGCTTACCGCCTGGTGATATTGGCTGGTGCTGGGGAGGCTGTGGTCGAGGTGCCGGTTGAGGCCAGGGATCGATTGCTTGTCCTGGCGGTTGCAGAGGCCAAGGATCGACCGCCTGTTGAGGCGGCTGTCCGTCGAAGCAACACACGTATCCTTGCCCTGCCTGGCCACACGACTGCTCTACCTGAAGTGTAAAAAAATCGTCTAAATGGAAACGCATGGAAATAGTTTTTATATGGCTGTCGGGAATCGCAACAGACCGTGCCTCCCGTGCCACCAGACGCGATATTCTGACATTGATGTCTTGGAACGCATCGGCATCCGGGCGGACACGAGCTCGTCCCAGACTGATAGCTCGCCCCCACATGCACGGAAGAAAATTTCTGGTTGGAGGAAGACCACGGCATGGAAGACTGCCACCAATAGTGATCCCCCTGTGCCACTTGAGGCTGTTGAATCGACCTGCCCTTGTTATGCCATCCTCTGGACATTGCTTCCCCTGCCAGCAGGATCAGCAGGGCACAAATCCAGGATTTCATGACTGGGGTTTCGATTTTTTTTTTAGACCTGCGGATCGAGGATCGGATGAGATTCTTATCCGATAAGCGTTAATTGCGGGTTCACGGAGGAACAGTCGGAAGGGCCAGACTCGTTACATCAGCTGGTTGCTTGAGGCTAATATTAAATTAACCTGCTCGCCGACTCTATTTCAGAGGTGAACGTCCGACGGATCATCTTCTTTGTCCTATCTCTTCCATTGCAATCGATGTAGAAAGTGGCAAACTGTATTGTTTGAGTTCGTCTCGATTTTCTCCAATTTCTTTTCGTTATGAAGTTAGTGCTAAGTGTCCAGTAAGTTGCGCAACATAATGGAAAATATATTTACAAGCTTTTATTTTTCAAGGTATGCCCGGCGGTTGTAGTCAAAGGACACCAATGTGAACACTTACACTGCAGGCGGTATTTTCTTCTTTTCCCGTTTAATGCGTGACGTAGTGAACTCTACAGATTAAAATATTCTATGTTTGAAAAGACCCGACGAGATTTCTCCAATTTGTTAATATACTTTCTAACTTTCAATATCATAACAAATCGACCCCGCGTAACTCGCGACCGACCTTAGGGGTCGTTCAGAAATTACGTAACGCAAAGGGGGGAGGGGGGGATCAGACAAAATGTTACGATTTGTTACAGGGGAGGAGGGGGGTTTGCACGAATGTGACGTAACAAGTTTTTTTTCATTAAAAATAAATAAATTATTGATTTGAATTTCTTATTAGAAGGGTAATTGTTTAGTATAAAAAAAAAATCACTCACACGACACAGAACCAACTCAACTGCCCACCCGCACCCACCACCTTTACTAACAGTGGAGTGGGCATTGGAAGCGTGGGAACGTCTGTTTACTTCCTTTTCCCCTGTTGCAAAACTCGCAAAGTCGCAGTTTCATGCCTAGACTTTTAGCCCAGAAGGCTAAACAGGCTCAGTTACCCGTTGGACGTTGCCCTCGTTCGTTTGTCTCTCGGCATCGCTATCTTATTTCCACCACTCTACCCTACATTTCCCCGTCTCCTTTTACTCTTTTTTTTTTAAGTCTCAAACGGGTGATCACCATTAATCAAAATGAACAAAGACAATGGAAAATAATTTCCTTGAAGAAGGAACCGAATGAAAGTAAACACTTTTCCTTTCCTTTTTTAAAACATTTTAATCATCTTTCAATCTGTGCAATCCAGAGTGTTAGTTATGAGTGTTTAATAAACGAGTTTCTTTTTCAAATGCATTTTACTTGTTTATTTATATTATTATTTTTAAAAATTATGGAGGGGGGGGGGTTATATTTTGTCACGTATTTTTTTGGGAGTAGAAACTTTTGTTACGGAGTGTTACAAGGGGGGGGGTCAAAAAAGTTCAAAAATCACGTTACGTAATTTGTGAACGGCCCCTTAGCGTCCCTTTGCTCAGCAACCAAGCAAACATAGGGATCACCTGATCGAAGTATCACTGAATCCCCACACTTTCCTGGAATCCTCCCGACGTACTATTGCGTGGCCTCGCTACACTCGGAAAGCGACCACCGGGAGCTTACAAGAAAAAGAAAAAACCGATGTCGTCATACACCGAACGCAAAGGCATGGAGGCACATGAGGGTACATCCAGCAACGAGGGAGGCAGACAGACCCCTCCGCAGCCCGGATGAGGGCGTCCCGAGTACTGGCGGGACCCTCGTGGGTCCACTCGCTCTAAAAAGGCTTCCCGGCTCGCCTCTTGTGGCCGTCCATGCCCCCCGGGGAACTCAATCAGGAGATAAACGCATGTTCCTGGAATCCTTCCCTCCTCTCGGCACTGGACGGGAACTCCCCTTGCAAGGGCGGCGTTGAAATTCATATTGCGGATGCGAGCTACTAGTTACCGGCGAAAAGCCCACGCATATGCAGCGGGAAGGGGTAGATTTCGCTCTTCCAAAACGAGTTTTGGCGGGTGGGAAGAGTAGTGTTTTCGCCCATGATTGTATTTTGTCTGCAAAACCCAACACTGCGCTTATGGAGTTTTTTTGTTGTTGACAACTTGAGTAATTTCGAGGATCTGCAGAGGAAATTCACGGTCGAAAAGGCATGCGTGCATCCACGCTCCTCTGACACCTCGAACGAAACCCTCAGTCACTCCTAAAATAAGTAAAATCGCCCGGAAACAGAGGGTACCCGTGCAATTACGAAAGGCTTAGTTCCGCCGCTGTGCAATATGTGTGCAGTCAAGGTCAAGGAGTCTGCCCAATGAAAGAGATGGCTGTCGTCATCCTCGGCTGATGGAGAAGATTCCCCTCTCCTTTTTTGCCTTTGCACGCCAGCACATCCTTGTGCGGGTATAAATGGTCCCATCACGGTTCGTGGGAACTGCACGCATTATGATGTCACATGGTATTTCCCCCGCTTTTTCCGAAGGGCGTAGAAGAGCGATGCGCATTTTGCTTTTTTTTCAGCTGCATCCGGGGTTGCTGGTCGCGATTGAGTCTGTGGCGATTCCCAAGAAAACCCAGACTCGAAGGCGATGGCTGGAGTTGGCAACAGATCGAAAATACGTAATCGAGATTCTAAATTTAAAATAATAAAAAATTCCCCCGACTTTTCAAGGATTTTCAGGTCGTTTAGATATCATTTTAAAAATTTTCGTTTTCCTACACTCCCAAACTTAGTTGCTTTTCGCCCACTTCCGCATGTTGCAACCGAAGATTTCTTTCCCGAGTGATAATGGGATTTCACCAAATTCCCTCACTTGTTTCCTCACTTTCCTGACTCTTTTCTTTAATATCCGGACTATCCACAATCATTTTCCTGAATTTTTGGCCAGGTTTTCCAACTCAGCAGACGCCCTTCCAATGCAATAAAGCAAGAAATGACGGGGGAAAAAAAAGGGGATGGAAAACAAAGGAAGAAACAAAGAAAGAAATTAAGGAAGAACTGGGAGGGAAGAAGTTCCGGGAAGCATCCGTCTCCTCCCGTAAAAGAAGATTCCCAGCTTTCAATGAAATTACGTGACTGAGCCCACCTTGGAGGGAATAATTTCTTTTTTATGGCCCTCCTTCGGGCGTGAGAAGCAGTGGGATAAGTATCAGAAGGCCGGGGGACCGGAAAAGAAATCCGGATCTGACCTGACCTCGTCCACCTTGACCCTTCTTCGTGTTTTTCCCTTGCATTATCCATCTCCCCCCACGACGCAACCTTCATGACTCGATGAGGGGTCTTCCAGGAAGAAGCAAGAAGGCGGAAGAGACGAAGGGAGGAATCCTTTTGCGGATTTTTATTATTATTATTTTTTTTTCGGGTGCGATATGGGTTAGGACTGGGAGAGCCGCTGTTGGGTGGATGGTCTGAGTCCGAAAAGATCTCGGGCGTCCGGGATTTTCGACGAAGATCCCGTCTTGCAACAGTGTCCGAAGATGTTCGAGTCCTTGGCCGAGACGGCTGGGGGAGGCTGACAATGCTGCCGAAAGGGAAGGGGAAGTTTTTTTTTAAATGTTGAGATATAAACCTGTGTAACGAGATTGATCCCCGAGCCTCGACCGACTGGACTCACGGCCATGGGGAAGGCGAAGATCATTTCCTCATTCTCGGGCTCCCCGGACGGGATTCGAGCCCCGTCGGGGTCGCATTTCTGCGGCGGGATGCATTTCTTGCGCGCCGGGCAAGTGTTGACCCTGGGACAACAGACTCCTTCCGTCGTCTCGTTCGTCCCGCCATCCGCGCTCGACAACGGCGGGTATTCGTTCGGGTCCACCAGGCACCGCTGTGGGCGAAGGCGTGGGTGTGAGGGTGAGCGAGGAGACAAGGACGGCTCGATAGGGGGAATCGGACTCACGCTGAAGATGTTCTTCATGAGGGCGATGCGGGTGGAAAGAGGGTAGGGGGCGAGGGCATGACCGCCCTCGCACATGGTGGGTGGAGCGCATTGGGTGGCCGATGGACACGGGGGCACGCCCGAGGGTGCCCCGAAATTCCCCGTCACTCCTCCGCTTAGGATCCGCCTCCGGACCAGCTCCACGCTTCCTGTTTTGGGGAAAAAGGGTTCGTATACGTTTGGAGGATTGGCTCTTTGGGTGGATCGTTTTGTTTATTGGGACTGGAAGGTGGATACTAATGATACGACAGCACGTGCAGGCAGAGGGGAAACAGCATTGTGAGTGCTGGTTGCCCCGTTGGTTGGAGTGGCAGTAATGAGCCGAAGAAAAAAAAAAAAGACTCGACCAATTTGAAAAATCATAGCAACAAGCAAAAGAAGACGAAAACCTGATCTGAATAAGAAGAAAAGGCCTACACACAAAGAATTTCGTCATAATCATTTCTGGGGAGGAGGGGGGGAGGCTCATGGGGTGGAGAGGGATGAAACCCACTTTCCGGGAAGGGGAGGCCCCACGCATACTAGTGATAAGGGAGGAGAGAAAGAAAGGGAAACCAGGGGCCGAGTTGAACTGCACAGGAGATCGAAACAGTTGGTCAGGACTGCTTGCTGCTGGCTTGAGTGGCGGTGTAGATAGTTTTTTTTTTTAATGAAACATTGCGGTTTCTATGGATAATCGGAAACTCGCATTCACTGGGTGCGTTCGCGCTTCGAGTTTCTCAGTTAACCACTAAATGCCTAATTAGGGATAGCTCCAGGAAGCTCGTTAGAGTGATGTCATGTGGTCAACCGATTTGCGTCGTAAACGGACACATTATAAGGACACTTTGCTTGATGCTTCTCATCCATGTCAGAAATTAACGTATGGGGAAACTCACCGGATGGAGACGCGATAGTTGAGAAGACATAGGAGTAGCAGAGAATTGGGAACCACATCGCTTCAAACCCTTTCGAGGTGCAGCATCCACTATGACTCCTGAGGAAATATAGGATCTGGACCCAATGCGAGTCAACAAGGCAGCCTTGATGGTAATCGCCAAGGATATCGGGACCCTTAGTGTTAATTGAAATTGAAACCATTCCTTTTCCGCATTCAGAAGCAGGGTAATCCGGTTGTTCCACCTTCCAACGATTTTCTGTTTTTGGTTGACGTCTGGAGGAGTGTAGAGAAACAACGACGTACGGGCGATGTTCCCTAGGTGGCAGGTCATACGTAGATGGAGGGCAATATGGGCGACTGCTGCTGGTGTGACAGAGAAACCGGGTGTGGTCACGTGTTGGCCCGATGTCTCTTTCTTTCTTTCTAGAAATTGCCACAGTTGTGAAACAAAGAGGCTGTCTTGTGATTTTAATGGACCATGTAGGAAGTCGTATACCTTGTGTCATTCAAATACATTGCAGCCATAAACTACGCAATCGGGATTTGGCTCCTCAGATATGATTAATTATGGCCTAACGTTAGGTTTTGACCTATTTAACCTACCTGTTCAGCCTTGGGCTTGTGTAATTTTGGCAATTGACCAACGTAAGCAGTGAGAAAAATTGTTATATTGACTTAAGTCAATGCCACGCGAAAAAAGTTAGGCATATGGATGAATTGTGTTAGGTCTAATGTTAGTTATAATGGGTGTGTCAGAGGTTACAGTTACAAGTTTGGCCACTTTTTATTACTTGTCCTCGGCCTTGCTTAAAAATGTTTAAAGGTAACTAACTGGTAAGGGTTTAATGACAACAGTGGCAAGTCCAGGCTCAGAAAGGACCACTTTTAATCCACAAAGAAGCTGAAATAGCTCATTTGTCATAATCAAGCCCTCAACCCCTTCCTTTCCTCTCCTCAAAATATCACTCATACTCAGTGGTGTAGCGTGGTTGGCATGGGCCCTGGTGCAAGGAATGAAATGGGGCCCAATGTCCAATTTCTTACTATGGAAATATGTGGGAGTCATTTTTTTGCTAGTTTTCTCTGGCAGCATATATATCCTCATCAGTAGCTGAAGTCAGTGTTGAAGGCAGTGGCAGATACAGAAATTTTTCATTTGGTGTTGCCTAGATCCCCCCCCCCTCCCTTTCCTCATCTACCACCACTTTCTGTCCTATTGCCTTATTCATTTTTTGTTTGGGGTTAAAATCCCTGAATATCCATTTCACAGGTGCTAATAAATATTAATTTATATGTGCTTTCTAAATTAAAAAAATAGACTGCAAACTTGACCAGAGGAGGGCCAGTTGTTCCTCCCCTCTCCTAGATCTACCACTTGTGAAAGGGTGAATGTAGGGCTGGATCAAGAAGTTGCGAGGCCAGGGGCAAGTGAATCCTTGGTCCGCCCTCCTGCTACTTTACACAAATACTTAACAGGTTTAATTTCCTTTGAGGGCCCCTGGAAAAGTGGGGCCAGGGGCAACAGCCCCCCCTCCCCTGCCTTCCCCCCTCTTCATAGCTCAGCATCTGGGCCCCTCTGGCCTGTGGGCTCCAGTGCAGTTGCACCACCTGAGCATTTGGTAATTATGCCTCTGCTCATACCTACAGCCTGAGGGTGGGTTCAGTGGCCTACTCATGCTAGGAATGGGGGGGGGGCAGATCATCCTGAGATACAACACAATAGACACTATGTTCCCCTGTGCACCTTTCCAATATAGTTAGGAGACTGCAATACTCCTGGGGGGGAAGACTTCCGAAGTGGACCACCCCCAGAATGGCGCTAGAGATATATGGTATGAAAGTACTTTAGGAATAGGTTACAGTGATATGTGTTTCAGCTGAGAGAGTTGAGGTATGAAGGTGTAATATTAATGTGGTAATATAATGGTAATGCTCTACGTGGGCATCCTTGGAGCAGCCATGTTACGTGCTCCGCCCAGGCCATTGCGTCTGCTAGCTGTGCTATGGCCTTCCCAGGCATGCGCACTGTACTCAGGTCAAGTTTTCTTAGGCCCTTCTGGTCTAGTCTTCATTCTTCTGGTGAGATCTGTTCTCGCAGGGTCACAGTTAGTGTACCTCATGAATTTTTTTCCCAGTTCGGTGTCAAAGGCCAAAGAGTGAGAAAGTCAGCCTGTTTTGGGAATGATGGGTCAGTTGGGTTAGGAAAGGGTCGCGGCCGAAGGCCCCGATTATTTTCTAACCCAACTGACCCATCATTCCCAAAACAGGCTGACTTTCTCGCTTTTTCGGCCAAATATAGAAGGAATGCAGCTCCCTTGATCTGTGTTTATCCCATCTTCTCTGATGTTAGTTAGTTTAGGTTTATAGTGAAAACCCAAAAGCACTGGTGAAATAGTGTGTGTGTCTAGCATTCAGGTGATTGATTTTATTCTTTTGGGGAATATGGGGGGCATAAGGTTACTGTTCCAACGAAAAGGGGCGCTCTCACCCTCTACTCAACATGGCTGCCCCCATGTTGAACATGCACGTGCACGCCACTACTTGCCTGCTTAGCCTACAACCCATGCATCTTAAAATTTAAATTACTACTTCTTTTCTTATCTTTCTCAGCTAAAATATGCACCAACGCAGTATATTCATCAAGAGCTTGCGATTGATGTATCACATGTACCATTCTGGGGGTGGTCCACTTCGGAAGTCTTTCCCTCTTGGGGTACTGTATCACTTGTGTTGTCACTGTTATGAAGTTGGGACATTCCCCCATATAGCATGCACTCCCTATGCAAAAGGAAAGGGCCTGGTTAAATTTCAGGATGCTTCACACTCAACCAGGGCAATGTTTATTATCCTAAGTATTGAATACGAGAGAGCACTAAGAGTGGCAAACATGAAGCATCCCCTTTTGAAAGTGATCACACCTAGACATAGAGAAAAAATAACTGCTCCTTGCACTTGTGTGCATGGATAGTCTGCTATTTTGTGTGTGGATACCACAAGTGTTTTAGGGCATGATTGGAATGGAGTTCCATTGTCATATAAAGAGAAATAATTGGCCATGTAATGTAGCAGCAGATGCAGTGTTGCTGATAGTACTCAGCATGGGAATATTGTATCCTCACTTTACTAACCTGACCTTCTGCCTTTATATCTATCCAGCCATGCCTGGCCTTTCTAATCTCCATCCCTTACTAATATCTTTGTAAAGAGAAAAAAAGGGAGAGCTGGCCAGGACTCAAATGTCCAATGGCTAGGATTAAATCTGGAGTTGTAACCCATTGTGCTACCTTCTCTTGCTGGAGATCACTGGCAGATGGTAAGGATATAGTGACCCCTTCCAATGTACCTATACTCCAGACACACTCTTACAGTAATTTCTATTGACTGCATCCCCTCTCTACTATGATGGAAGATTGAAGTGCCCATGCCCACTTCAATCACTGATTTAGCCAGGAGTAGTTATTTTGAGATGGCATATGTTCAAGTTGTATGACATGTGACACCATTCAGAAGGGGATAGGGGAATGCAGTTAATTGAAAATCAGTATGCTTGAATAGTCTTGTATCTAAAGATACTGACATTTACCTATAACTGTTGCCTTTAACAAATCATTCTACTTTGATAATTACATTTATGTTGTTATTACTCAACCCTGCATGTTGATGTATTGCTCTCGAAAGAAGGCAAGTTGAGGACTTTCCATTTAATATGAATTTTCTTTGACAGCAGGTAAAGAAACCTCTAGGTCTTAAAGACCCTTCAAGAGATATATACCGTAGTGACTTGGGAAATCAGATTCATCTGTCATTCTAGGTTTTTGATCAGCCTAACAGTGCACTTACAGCAGCAAGAATGGTGTCCCTGAATCCAGTCCAAATCCTAAAATACGAAGCAGAAGAGGAAAAGGCTGAAATTGCTCGGCTTTCAAGTTTTGTTGGTGCAATTGCAGTAGGGGAATTGGTGAAGTCAACCTTGGGCCCAAAGGGAATGGATAAAATTCTAGTAGCCCAGGGACGTAGTTATGGTCAGTTTCAGCAGTTCCACTATTTTCTTTTGCTATTCATGTTCAGTAATGTGCCTCCATGCAGAGTGCATTGAAATTGTTTAATTTCTTAAACTCTAGGAGCTGTGGAGGTAACCAATGATGGTGCTACTATCTTGAAGCATATTGGAGTTGATAATCCGGCAGCCAAGATATTGGTTGACATTTCGAAAGTGCAAGATGATGAAGTTGGAGATGGTACAACATCTGTCACTGTCTTAGGTATGATATCACAAACATGGAGTCAAGGAAAGTCTTGCTCCATTTCATTACAGTCTGCCTCTTTCTGGCCATAGTTGTAACTTCTCCAGTTTATTTTCCTGATACTGGCACTGAACTTAATATCCTATTCTAGCTGCTGAGCTGCTAAAGGAAGCTGAGAGGCTGATTGGGATGAAACTCCATCCTCAAACCATCATTGCAGGTTGGAGGAAAGCAACTGAAGTTGCCAGGGAGGCACTCACTTGTGTAGCCAAAGACAACAGGTATACTTTATGGCATTTTTTAATATTGCCCTGTCTCAGTATTGGTAGCTTCACTATTTTTCAACTTATCTTTTTTCACTTTGAGGTGATTTTTAATAAATCTGTGATATTTAAATTAGTTTCAGTGTAAAAGCTGCTTGGAGCTTTATTCATGTTTTGTCTCAAGTTGTGACAGCAATTCCGATGATGTAACAATTGAATTAGTGGGCTGTTTGTCTTATTACATTGAATCAGTTTTGTTTTTCATTAATATACATTAGTATGTTATTAATTAAATGAATGGAGTGACTTTGGAGGATGAAGTTTGGAACCTCAACACTGTTAAGAATATGCATGTTCTCATATCCACTAAGCAGCTATCTAACTACAATCAACTAGCAAGTTAGATGAATTTAAAGCTATTATGCAACATCAATATACAGGGTGACCCAAAAGTCTGGACACATAGGCGAAAATGTAGTAATTTTATTTAATAACATTTTCAACATGGCGCCCATCATTAGCGATGCAAAGTACCACCCCTCACGTCCACTCAGCAGTACCAATTCAATACGTTCTTCTTTCAACAAACTCATATTCAATCTGGGGAAAAAACAGAATATTAGTAATGTTACCTATGTGTCCAGACTTTTGGGTCACCCTGTATTTTGCACCATCTTGCTTCTGCAACCTCTGGTTTAGAAGAGTTAGGAGAGCTTCTTAGTAGGCCTCTGTGCATGATCCTTTGCCTCACTGCATTCAAAGGAGTATGGGAAAGGAGTGGGTTATGCAAGCAGTGTGTTACCACTATAGAGGGGCTAATGAACCCATGTCATTCCTCAACCTGATCATTTTGTAGCTCAGTTTTCCTCTCAAATTATGTCTGGCAGTTCAAATCAGCTCAAATAGCCTGCCATCATGGAATGGTAAAATGCACACTTCATTGCAACCATCAAGCAGAGGGACAAATATAGGAATAAAAGCTGAGAAAAACAGCGATATTATTCATGAATGTAGTATGAATATGAGCAGACAGTAAAGAAGAAAATGTGAATCCTGACAAGAATATAAAGCTGCCCAAGAATTATAGAGTATACATGAATTGTTTCAGTCTTGTCATGTGACCTGATCACCCAAAACTCCCTTGTCTGTGGTAAGGGTTCAGTTACTGTTGTTCACTTAAGTGTTCACACACTAGGCTTCTTTTGAAATCCTCTGAAACCAGTGTCTGAACTTTTGGATTGGAAAGGTATACCAATAATGTACCTAATATTTATCTCATGTATTGCACAGTCTAGCATAGCTTCTTTTTGCCATCTGTTATCAAGTTGTCTGTTCATCTTCTTTATTGTAATTCCTGCATGCCATTAATTGATAGGTAAATGCCTCTCAATGGCATTCAGGCCTGCTCTTTTTAAGGCTGAATTCATGTTTTTATGTAGTTTTCATTGTCCTTTGCTGTCAATGGATGATCCCCCATTGGATGCAATTGAATCCTTCAGAAAAAGAGGTAAATTACTCTAGTTTTTCTCCTAAGTGAGAACTCTGTCTTTTTGTATAGTGCAAATCCAGAGAAATTCAAGGAGGATTTGTTCAACATTGCTTGCACAACTCTGGGCTCCAAGATTCTTGCTCAGTATCGAGATCACTTTGCCAAACTTGCTGTCGATGCAGTCCTGCGCCTCCGTGGGTCAGGGAACTTGGAAGCCATTCAGATCATCAAAAAGCTTGGACTCACCCTCCTGGATTCTTACCTTGATGAAGGTCAGCCTTTTCCTGATTTTTGTACTTCAGAAATCATTCAGTTGATATGCAAGTTTTCTATGCTGCATGAAACTTTAGTATACAAAACAAAAGTTTAATATGGGTGGGGTAACATGTCATTCAGCTGCTAGTAGAATAATATTTTTTTGAGTAACTTTATTCTCATCGTGATATGGGACAACTCTCTAAGCCGCATAAAGAAATGACCAAAGTATATTAAGTATAAGGTTTTTTGGGTTTTTTTTTCCAAACACTTCTTTGCTGTCCATAAAGTATGTTGAGTGTGTGTTGAGTGAGTGTTGAGTGGCTTGGTGTGCCAAAAAAAATGATGTTCTATCTAAGTAAAATTTGGGATGGTGGCATAATGTTATTCAGAGTAGAATAGTCTTTCTTGAATACTTTCATCCCATCTTGCTTGGCAGCATAGAAAATTCAGTTAGAGCTGATGATCCACTTGTAAATATTTCCTTGAAAATCACTTTCTGCATTGCTGTTTCTGCTAACCTGATATTTTGAATCTCTTAAGGATTCCTTCTTGATAAGAAACCTGGTGTCCATCAACCCAAACGAGTGGAAAATGCCCGGATCCTGATTGCCAACACTCCAATGGACACTGACAAGATTAAGGTCTTTGGATCTCAAGTTAGGGTGGATGGTGTCTCCAAGGTGGCTGAGTTGGAGCTGGCTGAGAAACAGAAAATGAAAGAGAAAGTAGACATGATCCTCAAGCATAACATCAATGTCTTTATAAATAGGTCAGTCACCCGTTGAAATGAGTTACAGGTGAAGTTTGCATGTTTGCATTAGCAATCTAATGTGAATTGCTTTGTGTTTCTTCTTCTCTTCTTCCATAGGCAACTGATCTACAATTATCCAGAGCAGTTGTTCTCAGATGTTGGAGTGATGGCCATTGAACATGCAGATTTTGATGGAATTGAACGTCTGGCTCTCGTCACTGGTGGAGAGATTGTATCCACGTTTTCAAACCCTGAATCTGCCAAGTTGGGACATTGTGACCTCATTGAACAAGTATGTTCATTGTTTCTTGGATTTCCTTTTTCATTTTATTGTTAGCCTTTACAATGACACTGTTTCTGCTCCCTAAGGTCATGATAGGAGAAGATAAGCTGTTGAAATTCAGTGGAGTGCCTTTGGGTGAAGCATGCTCGATCATCCTCCGTGGTGCCACCCAGCAGATTCTGGATGAAGCTGAGCGTTCTCTTCATGATGCTCTCTGCGTTCTCCAGCAGACAGTGAAGGAAACTAGGATTGTGTTTGGAGGAGGCATGATCTCTCTCTCTCTCTCTCTCTCTCTCTCTGTCATCAGGAAGTCTGTTAAATGCATCATCAATGAACTTTGCTTTGATGGGAGGATGGTCTTATTTGTAGGATCAAGTGAAATGGTGATGGCAACAGCAGTGTTGAAGGCAGCAGGAGAGACCCCAGGTAAGGAGGCTGTGGCCATGGAAGCATTTGCCCATGCACTCATGCAGCTCCCCACCATCATAGCTGACAATGGTGGCTTTGATTCAGCCCAACTTGTCAGTGAGCTTCGTGCTGCTCACAATCTGAACAAGCACACCTATGGCATCGGTAAGAAAAAATTATCCTTCCTCTGTTCAATAAGCATCAATGTTGCTGTCACATGTGAGAATGACAAAAACATTTTAAAAGAAATTAAATTCTCCCTTTGAGGATGTGTAATTTTATTTATATTTACTGCAGCTTGCCACTTAACAGGATGCATGAACAAATGTCTAAGATTTTTGTTATGATCTGGTTGTCGGTGAGCTTTGAGCAAGGACTGAATGCTAGGTTGGAATGTAACTCAAATATTTTTGCAGCTTTTGCAAGTATAGAGGAGTAATCTTTAAGGGAAGTAATGGTCCTCATTGGTTGAAGCTGAGAGGCTTGACTTTATCACTGCCCTCAGTTTTGTTTCATAATTGTCTGGATTCCAATTTTTGACCCAGTAATTTCTCCATATGAGTATCTTGTCTTCTAGATATGATCAATGGGAAGATTGCATGCATGGAGCAGTTGGGTATCACTGAAGCCTACCAGGTGAAGCGTCAAGTTCTTCTCTCAGCCTCAGAAGCAGCAGAGATGATAGTGCGTGTTGATAACATCATCAAGGCTGCACCTCGCAAGAGAGTCCCTGATAATCATCCGTGTTGATTCCTCCTTGATCAGCAGCTTTTGATTGCTGTCTACTAAATATTTTCTACTTTACCTTGCCAATTTGGATTCATTCCGTCTTGTTTCTCTATAATTTTGGTTCTGTCCATCCACCACTAAAGAATTTTCTACTCAAAGGCCAATGTCCCTTTCATTCATATAGTACAGGTGCTGTGTCAAATATGGCTTCATTGGATGTACTACAGGTTGGATTGCAAAATGGTTCAATAATATTTTTCAAAATGGAGTTGTCAGCACTGTGCTTTTATTACTATTTTTTTTTTTTACCAAAAACCAGTTTTATATGGGATCATTCATTTATTATGACAATATTTCATGATTTTATGATAGAATGGGTACCTACAACTAATGGGTGCCTGACAGCAGGATATTGGTCTTAAGTGTAAGGTCAAGAAGGCCACACTTGACAAGATCATGCATAAATTGCCCTGGGAGGTGAAAATGACGAGTTTAGTGTGTGAGTTCATTTCTTGCAGAGGATTGAGTTGCTTCTCAAGCACCAGCAGCAAGACAAGATGAGCAGCAAAAGACCTGTAAAAACATACAAAGGTTGATGTATTCATGTAAGAAACATTGCTGCTCAACACTTCTTGAAACATTTACCAGCAGCAGTTGGGATGGTTATTTGAAGTAAGAAGTTTTTCATCTGCTGCTTGGCCACTTCAATTTCTTTCTCTTGTTGATTCATTTCCTGTACTTCAGCTTGCCAGATCTCCTCCTTCAGCGTATCGCCTGATATGAACAAATGAAAAGTAGTGACAAAGAACTATAAACAAACTTGTACTCCATGTAATTTTCCCTAAAGAGCTGGAACTTCATTTCATCACAGGATCCTATTGAGGTTGATCCTAACCTCTCACACCAACCTGCCTTGGATATTTATTTTTTTTCTTTCTTCATGTTCCTGGGCTTTGTGGATGACACGTCTGCAGCATCAATGGACCATAGAACAAACTTATGCATCTGCGTCATTGCATGAGCTCGAAGACTGACCAAGTTCAGCAGTTCCTCCCAGGGGTGCATCACAGAAGTGCGGCAAGGGCTTCACGTTGTAGATTCCCAGAATTCCTCCTGTGGCATCCAGATGAGAACGAACGACATCTTGAGCCTGATTCCATGCGACATCCGGATCGCTGAACAGGACATCCAGCGACACGTTCACGGCATTCTCCGCGCCACCGCCCGGTTCCATTCGGGTCACGTAGTTCACCACGTACATTGGGTTCAGCCAACTGTCCAGGAACATTTTCTCCAACTAGAAGATAGGCAGAGGCACCAGTGATATGAAAAGTGAGCACGACGAAGAAATTGCCTCCATGCAATAGCTATATGTAACCCTTTCACTTGTAGTGGTAGACCTCCACTCAGGCTACCACGACACATGCAGCACGTGTAACCCGAGTATGTACTCGGGCTAACAACGAAAGGCTTAAAGTTTCAGGAGTGCATGCTCAGGATCAGGTTGGTTGTCGTAGGTGGTCCCACCCTACATGCATCAAGTTTGAAAATCTGACCCCTTGCAATGCCACTTTGGGGAGTGAATCCAAGTTCGGGGGTGCTCGAGTGAATTGGGAGGATAGGAAAGTAATCCTCTTTCATTATTCTCTGAAGATTCCAAGGTGCAAGTGGCATATATATACAGTTGGCAAGTGGCCAACTGGTCCTAATATGGACACTGTTTTGTCCATATTTTAAACTTACGATTTTTTTACGCAATAAAGCTTAATACAGTGGCGTAGCAAGAAATCTTGGGCCCCCCCGCAAAAACCTAAGTCTGGCCCCCCCAATAAAAAAAAAAACTCATCTTCTCATAACAGGTTTGCTACTCATTGTATTAATGAAACAATCTGATATTGACGCATGTATACATTGGAAGAATTTTTCCAGATAAGAATAGGGGAAAAGAGGAAGACATAAATCTGATGCACTGCATTGGCGTCCAATAATTCAAAATGACATTTTTCTTGCTTTAGCCTCGGCAAACATGTCGGTGAGTCTTAGTACATCCATCTTCTTAGACCGCGCTGCTTCAATCGAGAGCAATCCGAGGCCTCTCAGGCGTTGTTGACTCATTGAGTTTCGCAGATAATTCTTGATTATTTTAAGTTTGGGAAACGGCCTTTCGCAACTAGCGACAGTCACAGGGAGTGTGAGGAAGCGCAGCAGGGCTGTGCACACATCCATGTAGTTTGGCTTCCTGTTTCACCTCATCGAAGCAATGCCGGTAGTTGCACAAGGATTTGCATGCCGTTTCGAGATGCTGTGTGGCTTTCAACAAATCAGTATCTTTGGACTAAAGGTATTAGGAGGCCAAGAAAACTTCTCCAAGAATTTTAGATAAGACCACCAACAGAAGCACGAATCCAAAATTGTCCATGCTCCTCTTGATTCGACTGGCCTCTTCTCGTTCCTCTTTCTTGGTACTTTGAAGGATGACTAGACCGAGAGCCTTCATTACATCGTGATACCGGTGCATTACTCCCATTAGCGACATATGGCGACACGCCCAGCGTGTAGGGTTTAGCTTCTTTAGGGTGACTTCGGATTCCCCCGACAGATCCAGCAGCAGATCCCAACGACGGATGCTGTGCCCGAAGGAGTACAGATCTTGCAAACAGGCGAAAAAATTGCTAACTTCTTTGACATCACAAACTGCGTCATTTAAAACCAAGTTGAGGTTATGCGCCGCACAATGCACGTATTTCGCGGATGGTTGCTTCTCTAAAATTCTCCTCTGGGTTCTGGTGTAGGCTCCACTCATGACACGTGCACCGTCATAGCTCTGCCCACGACATTTCGCAAAAGAGAGCCCCTTTTCTTCCATGGTACTCAAAATTTGTGAAGAAATTCCAGCCTTGCTTTGGTCCTTGGTCTTGTAAAATCCAAGGAAACTCTCGACAATCTCGATTTGTGACGGTTTCCCGATTGTATCCTCATGAACCTTGACAAATCGGTAGATATGGCTCAGTTGGTCCTTTTTTTTAGATGTCTTGAGTCGTATCCATAATGATTGAGAAAAATGGCGCATTTTTGATATCCCGCAGTAGCTCTGTTTCCAAATTATTTGCATGAAGCTCAATGTGCTCATTCTGTATTTGAGAACTCAGATAATGAATTTTCCCACTGGGCCTGTGAAGAAGCTCCTGCATCACAGGATCAAACTCAGCCAAGAGCTCCACCTGAGAGAGGAAATTTCCGTCGTACGCTTCACCGATTTTTTCTCTATGGCCGCGGAACGCTTGGGCATTTAAAAGAGAATTTCCGAGAATAAGAGTTATTTTAATCAAGCGATCAAGCACTTGTTTCCAGAAGGATTTTTGATGCTGTACTTGACGTTCGGCTGCTTTATCAATTGTGCCATTCTGCTTCCATTGGACATAGGTCATGCAAGATGAGAGGTGTGCAGTTGATTTAGCATGGTCCTTAATTTTTCGCGAAAGTCCGCGCCAGTCACGTATGCCCATTGACCAAGCTGAATGGTATTTTAAGTCTTTTCTGTCAGCAAACAGCCAACAGGGCTCACAGTAAGCGGCGTCCAATTTTTGTGAATAACACAGCCAGGTTACTGGGATGAACAGCCCCGATTTCGTTGTGGTACTGTAATATGATTCAGAATCAGCCAAGAGCTCCACCTGAGAGAGAAAATTTCCGTTGTACGCTTCACCGATTTTTTCTCTATGGCCGCGGAACGCTTGGGCATTTGTAGCCAATGTAAGAGTTATTTTAATCAAGCGATCAAGCACTTGTTTCCAGAAGGATTTTTGATGCTGTACCTGACGTTCGGCTGCTTTGTCAATAGTGCCATTCTGCTTCCATTGGACATAGGTCATGCAAGATGAGAGGTGTACAGCTGATTTAGCATGGTCCTTAATTTTTCGCGAAAGTCCGCGCCAGTCACGTATGCCCGTTGACCAAGCAGAATGGTATTTTGAGTCTTTTCTGTCAGCAAACAGCCAACAGGGCTCACAGTAAGCGGCGTCCAATTTTTGTGAATAACACAGCCAGGTTACTGGGATGGACAGCCCCGATTTCGTTGTGGTACTGTAATATGATTCAGAGAACGAGCGGTCTTGAATGCTATCCCTCGGGTAGGGCCCTTTCGGCCGGCATGGCCCTTGCTCCAGAATAAATCTCTTCATCTGGGAGGTGACTGCATCTGTTGGAAAGTTTCCTCTGTCGGTCGGATGTCTCTCGCGCAAAAGAGCACTGAACGAGTCTTGACATGTAGTTGCAAGACCCGAATCCCCTGGCGCTGGCTCGGTTATATCTGCCAGAGCCACATCGATTTCCATTTCAGGAGCGTCTGTCCTGATATCGCTGCGTGATACGATGCAATAATCATTCAAGGTGCCTCCAGGATCGCCAGTATCACCCTCTTTTTCCTGGAATTTATTTTCAGTGGCTTCACCTTCCGGTTCTTGGGGATCGGTTTCAGAAGTAGCAGCATTATCAGAACTTGAAGCTCCTCTAGCAAAAAAACTATCAATCTTTTTCACTTTTTGTAGCTCTCGATCTGCTTGCCGACGTTTTTTCCTCTTTGCAGCGCCACTGGTCTTGCTACTCATCACAAACACAAGGGTACTTGTGGTTTGAGAATAACTCAAAAGTTTTTAAGTTTACGGTCTGTATAACTTTTGATTGAGATGAACTCAACTACTGAATGATGGTGTTCCCCACCGAAGTTAACCGCAAGTGACCCTTTTTTCTCTCAGTTACGACACGTTCATGTATGTTCATACAGTGTGTGTCTTTTAAAAGTGTCCCATACTTGTGCTGGCCTTGCGCGTTAGGCCTACAAGGCGATGCTATTATAGGCCATAGGCTAGGCCAGCACAAGTATGGGACACTTTTAAAAGACACACTGTACTTGCACGGCGCCCGACAGGGTGCAGATATTCCATAAAATTAACTTGCAATGATATGGCCTAACGTTGGGAGTGCTGCCTTCTTCAAAGACAAGTAAACAAGTTCACACTCGCCTCTGTTGGGTTGATAATTTGACGTTAAGAGTCGGTCAGGGCCCCCCCCCTATGGCCAGTAACCATTTGCTTTTATTTAATAATTTTTTGTTTTTCCAAATATTTCTTAGCATTAAGAGAATTTTCGCATGTTCGATGGGAATTTTGGGCCCCCACTAGGCCTGGGCCCCCCCGCAACTGCGGGGGCTGCTTGGGCGGTTGCTACGCCACTGACGAGTTGTCTACTTCAGAAAAGACTGCAAACGTGGGGAAATTTTTTCCAGCGAGCCAGAACTCGATTTGTGTCGCTTCAGTTGATGACAAAACGACTTAATCTGGCTCCTACGTCAACACCGAGATGTGATGACTAAATTCGTTAGGTAGCCCCACAACACCCAAGCTAATGTTTAAGTTGATTGCGAGTGACTGTTGTTCTGCGCGGCCACAATACGAGCGTACACTCGGGTGAATCTGCGTCGGAATGGAGGGGGCTTCTTTTTTTTTATAAAATAAAAGTAAGCAAATGTACGAGAGAAAAGACGCATTAAAAGAGTTCCCGTGCTTCTCCGGTTTTTCCATCCGCGCTACGATTATGGGATGAATGGAAGGATTTTTGGCATCGGACACGATGGTGAAAAAACTTAGAGAAATTCCATGCTGCCTGCTTTCCGCAGGCATCCAGACGGAATCCCGAGAGCAAAAACACACTTGAATGATTTCCGATCACTTTCCGATTTCACACGGACTTCGGCTGTTGCGAGGCGTGTGGGATTTAGTTTCTCGGATCGATTCGGAGCGTTTCTCGCGTGGATTTTAACTTGGAAAAAGTGCCACGTGGGTACGGAAAAAAATCCGGTCTGCTTCTGAGTCCGTGACCTCATTGAAAGCAAGGGGATCTAATTTGAGCGGAAGAAACTCTCCGTTTTTTTTTTCCGATCCGATCCGCGTTGGTGTTTGACCACCTTCAATATGGGACTGTTTGACGAGCCATTATACAAGAAATCCACGAGGGAAAAGCGGTCTCCAAGTGCGGCAGATTCGCCGAGTTTGAGTTGGGACACGACCAGATGTTTCAGGGCTGGAGAGAGAAAAAAAACTAGAGACTGCAATCAACGAAAGTTGATCGGAGAACGCAGCACGATTCCCTTCAACCCCCCCCCCCCCCTCCTTCCTTCATATGCGTCGCACGAATGTCCTCTTCCCTTCCGAGAATCTGTCCGAACGCAGAAAGAAACCAGACAGCATGAATCTCCCTTCCACCCCCCTACCCTATCCTCCTTCCCTCGAGACCGACCCGATTCCCCGCATTGCGGAAGAGCTGGTCAGCCAACAGCGCTCGGAGCTAGGCCGGAGTGGCACCGCGACAGAACTGCGCCGGGTCGAGATGGTACATCATCATTACCCTTGATTGCTTGTCGTCCTGATCCGCTGGGCCCGGATGCTGCAGGTCTCTCGAAGCCGGATAATTAGGGCTCTCTAAGCGTTGGCACGGGACGAGGAGCAACTCTGGGAGTAGTAAGAGTAGTTCAAGTCTTTTCCTCCACGTTGAATTCCGATTCAGTTCCTCTTATTGCAAATTGATCGATTCCTTATGCATGGCTAACCAAGCGGGGGTCTTTTTTTTATGAAATATTTTTCCATTTGCAAGCCTAGGCCTTAAATGCCGCTCTCCATGGAAGGGAATCAGGATATTCTTATTAACTCAAATAGCTTCTTTTCGCGCACAGGTTTCTTTTTCCGGGGTTCGAGTAGGCGGTGAGCATGGCCGGATTAAAGGGGGGGGCTCGGAATTCACTTGCCCCGAGCCTCACAACTTCTTAATCCAGCCCTGGTGGAGAATTTTTAGTAGTTATTCATTTATTTAATTTTTATTTTGATTTTTACTGCCCAACCAATTCGCGTTGTAAATACACTGACTCAAAGAAGCATCTATGACAATATCACTTTCAGGAAAACATGAAAAAAAGGTAAAGCTCAACTCACGCGATTCCAATGAAGTATCAGGTTCAACAGCCTGGATCCGTTTTGGGATGCTTCAACCGAACGCAGAGACTCGGCATTTGACGCAGCAAAACGCAAAAATACAAGAACTGCACGGGGAAGAGCCGCCTCGTCGGAATATTGGGCAGGCACCATGTGACTAACCTCGACCGAACAGCAACGTCAAATGGCAACCAAGTACCGGTCATAAGTTGCGCACACCAAGGCACTTATGGAGACAATGCGCTGAGCTCAAAGCTTTTTCGAACTAGATCTTGGAGAAGTTCGCAGGACAGTGCGACACATATCTGAATATGTACGAAGTTGGTAAGAATTCACTGCACGACAGCGACGACGAGCTTCGAGTTCGACACCTCTACGCGGACACGCGCGGGATGTAGACTAAGCTGGGCATCCACCTGCGTGAGTCATCTGCAATAGCCATGGAGGAACTGTGATTCGTGCAGAGTATGTTAGATGTCGGGCCTGACGGTCGGCCCGCGGTAGCACCAACTTTCCGAGCCGCGGGCCCGGCTTGGACACAGTCGCCATCGAGAGCATGCTGCTTTTCCACGCCGCATTTTGGTCCTTTGATGCTTACAAGCAAGAATTGGACTTTTTTCACTGTGTTTTCAAATTTACGACTTTCAAGACAAATCTGCAGCGCAACTAGCAGAGCCAGGCCTCGTCTTCGTGACGGTAACTCCGATCACGAGCGTTCTCAAGGCCTGAATCTCAGCATCTCATGGTAGGCCTAGTCAAGGATCATGTGCGTCCGAATATCGTGAACCATTGCCTTCGAGGCAAGGGGTTGTCTTTAGAAGCGAAAGCAATGTATGGAGGCTTGGGTCATTTGGTATTGAATGTTTTGTTATTCTTATATTTCGGTAGGTCCCACAAGACCCAGAAACCTAACGTCAGACAATGGCTAACGTTAGTTCATAGGAGGAGTTGTTGCCAAAGTAGGCTTTAATTTTTAATTCCAAGATCTTTTAAAAAATTTAATACTGTGATTTGCCACACCTATATATGTTGGGCCTGTTTTGTTGCAGATCAATCAGATTCTTGAAAATAGTGTTTTTGGAGGTGCCAAGAATGGCTACAATGACACTAAGTGAGGGGGAGAAGAAATACATCCTGGATAGTGTTAATGATGACTGCAGAATCGATGGAAGACAAAGGAATAATTACCGTCTCATGCAGGTAGAGACAGATGTCATTGACCATGCAAATGGGTCGGCACGATTGAGGATAGGAGAGACGGAGGTCTTGGTGTGTGTCAAGGCAGAATTAGAGACTCCTAAGCCAGAAACACCTGATCGAGGTGCTATACAGTTCTTCATTGATTGTTCAGCCAATGCAAGCCCCCAGTTTGCTGGACGGGGAGGGAATGAGCTGGCCAGTGATATTCAGAGCTGTCTGGATCGTGCCTTCTCATCCCCATCTGTTCTGGACTACACTGCCCTCTGTGTTGAGCGAGGCCATTTTTCATGGACCCTCTTTGTAGATATCTTAATACTGCAATGTGGGGGTAATTTGTACGATGCGGTTTCATTGGGTGTGAAAGCTGCTCTGTATAATACGGTCATAGCAAAGGTTGCAGTGAAATTCCTAGCCGATAACAAGCCAGAGGTTGAAGTCTCCAGTGATCCGTCTAAAGGGTTTAAGCTCGACGTGACGAATGTGCCATGTTTCATGACATTCCTGAGGATTGGCAATCATTGTGTCTTGGATCCTTCCCTGGAAGAGGAATCATGTGGGCAAGGCAGCCTGGTTGTAGGCATAACGGTACAGGGCATCGTGACTCATGTGCGGAAAGTGGGTCCTGGCAGCTTCCATCCAACATCCATGGAAGATGCTTTAAATACGGCAAATGCGATTGGGCCCTTGATTCACATGCAGCTCCTTTCCAAGCTCAAAGAAGAAACTGCTGACAAGAGAGGGTTTTTGAGATAGCCAAACACTCTTGCTTTGAATCAATGAAGTCTGTTTTTGACCAATCTCAGGATGAATTTCTTTACTTCAAAAGTTGCTCTTTTTTAACAGTTCCACTGATGGTGAGAATAGGATCTTCATGGGTACTTTTCTGAAGCCAAAAGCCAATGTTTGATTGCTAGGAAGCGCACCTCATCTGTCAAACTCCAACATTTCTTAAACATTGAGACATTAGAGCATTAAGGGCTGTAGCAGCTGCTGCTTGCAACCCATTGCAGAAAAACCATAACCATTCAAGCTGTTTTCTGGGCTGTGGTTGTTTATGTTGATAGTGTGTGTTCTTCAATCTGATAGAAAATGTTTATACTTGAACAGGTCAGTCAAGATGAGAACACCATTCACGGCAAATTAGGTCAAAATCTTGGTTTAAGTTAAAATGGATGTGCTATCCATATCTTCTGCCTGTATTTTTCTTCATGGCCAGCAGTTTCGAAAGTTACATCCAGCAATAGCTAATATATTTTCAAACTGAACAGATCCAGTTGGGGAATGGCATGGTTGATACATAATTATCCTCCTACATTTGATTAGGTTATCAGTCATAAGCCATTTTGCTCAAAGTGATACTGCTTTGAATGCTCAAATTTAGTGGCTTTGAATTCTTCAAATAGATGCGATTCAGGAATTTCCTTTGCATGCAAATATCATATTGAATTTTGGTAATGACATGAATTTAATCAATTCAAGATCTCTGACATAGCCTCACCTAACTCAGCATTGATTCAGGGGCCATGCAATATCTACACTAATTCATTGCTACTTCTATTAACAGGAATGAAATTATATTTGGGGTTCCTGAAAAAAAAAAACCTTTTTTAGTATGCCAAGAACTGTATAAGGTGATCTTGAGCTCCAAAACCTGAAGGTGGCAACTGGGAAGGTTGAAGAGATACATAGACATGTTTGTCTAGAGAGGACATTTGAAAGCCTCTGACACCCTTTTTGATTAGATTATTTCCACTTTTGTGGAGATGATTGAATATGAAAAAACTTTCATGATCAATATGGTTTTCAAATGTAACTTAAGGCACTTTTGATTGTTGTAGTTACTTACCTGGGTTAGCCAAGAAGGGAATTACAATCAAATATATGGAAGCATTTATTTTATGGGATGGTTTTATAGTTTTGTCATTAACAGCACTATTCCCTTCACGGAGTCTGGACCCATGATGTGCTTAAACCACAACCCAAGCAATTTCTTAATGTGAATGTGAGCCCAGTCCTGTTCTAAAAAGTGTTTACTAGATCAGGAACCCACTCCCAATTGAAAGGGCCATGAGAAACTTCTTCAGGAGTCCTACAATGTGGCTTATATATTTTTTAAAAATATAATTGGCAAAAATCACTCTCAAACTCAATCTAATGCATTTACAAGTCATATCTCTGGTGTGTATGTTGGACCTGAAAACACTTCACTGTTAGATTTGTATTGTAGTCAGAGAAGGATGAAAATGAAAAAGCACGATACCCATGTGACTATTCTTTATTCCAAAAACAATGTCCTGGAAACCATAAGTGGAGAATGGAAGCAGGCTGATTCCATTAGACCAGCTTTGCAAAACAGGAAGCATTCAAAAAAGTGGCAAGAAAAGAACAATGGGAGCTGGGAGAGGACCTTGACCAGAGAGGAGAAAATGCTTAGCACAATGACTAAGCACCCACTGGCTGAAGAGAACAGTCTAAAGCTTGACAAAATGACTTCTCCTCTTCCACTGAAATAAGGACATTCTCTTCAAATGCTGTTAAATAAAAAGAGGAGAAAATGCTTAGCACAATGACTAAGCACCCACTGGTTGAAGAGAACAGTCTAAAGCCTGACAAAATGACTTCTCCTCTTCCACTGAAATAAGGACATTCTCTTCAAATGCTGTTAAATAAAAATATTCCTGGAACCCTGCAGTGCTAAAACAGATGAAACAGATGTGGGTACGTGCAACTTATCTCAAGGGTATCTACAAGCTGAAAAGGATAGAAACGCTTGCCTGCACCAGGAGCATGCACTTCTAGGAGAAATACTCTCTTTTACTCAAATATTTTACACAAACAAAAAAGGCATATCCTCAAAAGAAGGCAACACAAATTTTAGATCTTTGGCTTGAAGATCAAGAGAAGAGTCCATCTTCTCAATATTAAGAATCTTGACATAAGGCATCCAGAAAAGAGGACCAAACCTGGCCAATGGAGGAAGTGAAAGGGCTCATGACAAATGCAGAGACAAGGAAAAGGTGGGAGGTAGGAGCTGCCTGTCACCCGGAGGAGAATGTCATCCATGGATCAAATCACAAATCAGGATGAAAGGAAGCAAAGACATTGGGGAGAAGGAATGAAAATGATTCCAAGACAACACCATCCTTTCAAATCACCACCTTGACACTTGTGCACATTAGCTGTCTCCTCCTCCCTCTGAAAAAATAAAATTCATACTTGCAAACATTTATGAAGTGCTAGCACTTTCATGCACATAAAAATTGTTAAGTAACCTAAACTTCAATTAATGATGATACACTTTCATACAATTCCATTCCTCTCACTACCAGGGCTGTGAATGAGAAAAACAGGTAACATTTGTGCAATATACACTACCCATGTTCCAAGGGTTAGAGTCAAGTGGTAAAATGTCCCATTCACAGGAATCCAATTCACTCCTGACAACACTGGTCTTCTGCCAACAATATTATACAGAGCATTTTAGCCCTTTCAGTGCAGTGCAGCCAAAAAACTGGCTGTGTCTACCACTGACAAAAATGCTGTTGGCTGATTTTCATACCACCTAACAAGAAATACCCCAACTACATGATGGAAGAAACCTAGAAAAACAGCTGTGGCCAAAATATCAGCCTTTGACAGGAGGAGTACATGAGGCCGAAAAATTTGTCCATGGCACTGAAATGGTTAAATATTGCTCTCTTGATTGTACCCTTACATGGGGGTCAATCAGTTCTGGAGCTTCCAGCAACAGCTGTGGATTGGGGGCTGTCATCCACATAGATCTGCCCAGCTTTCAAGTTGGCAACCCATGAGGCTAACTGTGTGAACAAATATGGACATTAGCTCTGAATGCTTCCTGTATCATTTTGTTAAAGTTAAGCATCAGTTTGTACAGCAAGATGAGAAATTATGATTGTAAATGGATTCTTGGAATGGTATACAATATGTTCTTATGACCTTCCAGGGGGGGGGGACTCCTGTCCTTGCCTATTCCTGTCAATGAATTAAATGAACAGCTCTAGTGCTTCCTTTAAGACTTCATGCAATTTCTGAAGCTCTCAAGAGAATATTGATAGAACTTAATGTGAATTGAAAAAAAGATAAAGGAACAGTGGAATTATTACACAATGTAGAAGCTGAGAGAAACTTTTATTTGTTTGTGCTAAACACCTTCCCTATATACTGCAGAACAAAAGTAATGAGAACATATTTTGTTTGGTCATCATTTCTTCCAACAAAAATCAACAACATTGAATTGTATATTGTTGATTGGTGCCTGAACCAAACAAATCTGCTATGCGTTCCCAGACAGAATGATAAGACTTTGACTTTCATCCTACAAAATGTGGGTGCTGCAGGGGATGCAAATGAAGGGTCAATTGCTGGACTCAGAAAAAGAACTTAAAGAAGCCTCATATCCTCTTTGAATATTTCTAAATCTCAAGTTATGCAGAACTAGAAAACTTGGCAAGGAGGTACTCTGGCTTGACCCTAAAAATTTTACTGTAGCTAAGTGCAACGTGGAAAGAACATATAGAAGTTCTTCAATGGTACTGACTTCAATGGCCTCAATAAGCTGGAGGAATAGTGAAGGGAGGAAAAATAGTCTTGTTACATTGGTAAAGGATTTGCAAAAATCAAATATGATATTGTGCTGCTCAAATCTTCTAATTCCAATCTTCTAATTCAATTCAATCTTCTAATTCCTAAGCAGGAACCTTGTACTGCATGAATTCATTTTATATAAATCAAAACATGCCTCACTAGATTGTGATGAGGTAAAACAAATGCTACATGAACTTTTTTGGGGAGAAAAAATTTCTAAAACGAATGAAAAGAAAGTGAATTTCTAAAATAAATGTGTACCACTTAAAATATTATGCAACCTTTAACTTCGACAACGGGAAGTTCTAGCATTTCTGAGCCTTCTCAACCATTAACCTTGTTGGAGGGTAAGCTGAACTTTCAACAGACCTTGGCTTAAGAGAATAAAAGGCTTACCTCGCTTCAGGGAAGAAGAAGAAGAACTGGAGGCGAGAAGTTTCTTTTGTTGCTGTGCCTTCAAGGCCTGGACCTCGAGTTCGGAGAGGGGACGGATGGGCTGACCCCCTCGGATTCCAGGAGGCATTCCGACTCCTCCCATGAAACCTCCAGATATTGCCGGGTGGTGCCCTGCCCGAATTGGCTTGGCTGCAACCCCACAACATCATGGATTCCATCAAACCATGTATACAACATAATAAAAAGGACAACAAGAAGGTCATTCAGAAAGACATGTCCTATATATCAGTTTACAATCAAAAGTCAAACACAAGGTATAGATCTATAAAAAGCACTCCCATCAATCTCCTGGCTATTTAATTTCTATTCTGGCAGAGTATGAGCATCCATAATGCTCAGGAGATGAAATAAATAATTCCAGCTTATGAAATTCTTTTTCTGAGAATGAGAAGCAGTTCAGGTTATTACTTCAGGTTTCTCCTGTGAAATTATACCACATTTAAGACTTTCTCTTTGGTATGTTGTCAGTTACTAAATGGAGAATTGGCTTCCATGCTTTTGACAGTTATCTAGTTAAATCATAGTTTGGGACAAGAGCCTAAAAAGTGGCATGGACTTCGTGTGATAAAATGCATCCATATTGCTCCTTGCTAGTGCAAAAACCACCCTGACTGAACACTACCCACTTTCCAATGGGTGATAGTTGATGGCATGAAGGTAAGGATTGAAGTGAAACAGTTAACAGAAACAGA